TTTTGATAATGCTGCAGTGAACAAAGTTGTTATTGAAAGATTTATTGCTGATCTTAATCCCGTATTTGGAAATTTATTTTTTCATCAACGTTGCGTATGTCATATTATTAATTTGATTGTAAAAGTTGGATCAGAACATATAAGTTCACCTTTAGATAAAATTAGACAAGTAATAAATTTTATTACTGTGTCACCAGCAAGAAAACAAGCATTTAATAGTTTGTGTGCAGAGTATGGATTACAGGAGAAATCATTTGCCACTGATGTAACACATAGGTGGAACTCTACATATCTTATGTTACATTCGTGTGAAAATTACGATAAAGTGATTTCACTATATTATAATGATAGGCATACACTCGGACCCGAACATAATTTGGAAGATTGGGAATGGACTATTGCATTTTACGTGAAAAAATTCTTACAACCTTTTTTCGATGCTACAAAGGAATGTAACGGTGTTTATTACCCTACATCTTCTCTTGTTTTACAACATTTTTTCTACATTTCACAAGCATTTCATAAATATAGGAATTTGCCACTTTATGCTGATGTAGTCCGCTCTATGGAGTTAAAATTTTGTAAATACTGGGAAGAGTTGCCTTTTTTATTTCTTTTAGCTTCAGTAATGGACCCTCGACTTAATTTAACTGGCACAAAAACTACTGTAAAGGGGATATCAGATTTTTTGAATATAGAATTATCACACGTGCATATAGAATCTTTTTTATGTGAAATGTATAATTATTATGCTGAAAAGGAATGTCAGCGTAGTTCTACTTCCCAAAGTTCTTTTTCAAGAAATATTTCAACAAATCCTGAAAATTTATGGAATTATTCAGATAGCAATACAAGTGCTCCTTCATTTAGTTCTAGTTCTAGCTCATCAACATCTAGAGCGATCAATATTGGTGGTACAAATCTTGAAATTCCTTCTGAGTTAGCTAGGTATATGTGCGTGAATGTTCGTAGTGTGTTGCAACTGCACGAATTACAAGAATTTAGTCTTTTAAATTGGTGGAGATGTAACGAAAGGCAATATCCAATTGTATCAAAAATTGCACGTGATCTACTAATACCTCCAGTATCTACGGTAGCATCGGAGGCTGCATTCAGTTTAGGTGGTCGAATTTTATCAGATGAACGATCAAGACTAAAAGAAGATATATTGAAGGCTTTGATATGTTTGAAGGATTGGAAATGTGCAGAATTACGTGTTCAAGAACATGTTGATAGTATAATGGCCGAAGAGTTGCAGCATATCCAAACATAGGATGTTGTAAGTTTTTAAATTAATATTTTTCTTTAAGAAATGTATTTTTTAAATTTATTTGATTCAAAAAAATTGTACACGAAATATTTTATTCGTGTACAATTTTAACTCCGCCTACGTTGATTGTAGCCGGTCCCAAGCCCGAAAAAAGGAGGAGGGTTGTAATTTGTAACTTTTATTTATTTTGTTATTCGTATAAATTACATAATTTTAAAAATTGTACTTTTATTTAATTTGTAATTTGTATAAATAATAAATGATGCAATTTTTAAATTCTTTCAAAAAAAATGTCATTCAACAATTTGCACCACAACAATTAGCATGTGAAAAAAATGTCATTAAAAATTGCAAAAAATTAAAAAATCGAGCCGGCCCGAGCCGAGCCGGCTCGGCTCGTAAAAAGCCCGAGCCAAAAGCTCAGGCCGAGCCTTATTTTTTTGGTCGAGCTTTGGCTCGGCTCGGGCCCAAAAAAAGCCCGTTACGATTTACTCGAGCCGAGCCCGAGCCCAAAATTTCGGCTTGCGAGCCGGCTCGGCCGGCTCATTTACATCCCTATTACTAGGTATTGATTCAATTCAATGGAGGAGTCGGAGGGAGAAGTGTGGACCGTCGGAGGAGGGGAAAAGAGAGAGAGAATTTTTTTTTTTTTTTGTCATTTTTTTCATTTTAAATGGTTAAAATTTTAATAAGGCTTTTGAACCGATTTGCACTTTTTAACAGTTTGGGCCCATAGTTGCAATTTTCTTTTTTTCTTTTTTTCTGTTTTGTTTATATAAGAGGGTATTTTGATCATTTTACATCAAAAATTGGTAAAAAGGATGTTAAGCACAAAGAAATGTGGAAATAGGGGCAAAAAGGTCAAAAAATGAAAGGTATGGACGTTTTCCACAATCAACTCGATAGGTAGGGACGTTTTGCGCCAATTACGCTTATTTTTATTATTATTTTTTGTGCATTTGGAAAACTCTATATTTATGATCATGCAAGAAACAGAGAGCCATCGAGGGTTGAGAGTTTGGGAAATTATATGTTGTTTTGTTGTTCATACAAGTGTTTTCAATAATATGTTTGTTGTGGGATTATTAGCTTTGCTTTATTGGATTTGCATTGCTCTGTTATTTGGTCTCTGTTTTGATGCTGAGTGTGTGTGGCGATTTTTGGGTACTACAAGTTTTGGATTCGAAATATTCATTTCGTTCTGTAACAAAAGTGAGGATATGCATCAATATTAGTGCCAATTTGAGTGCACTCTACACCCCTTTCTTGTGTCAAAATTTTCACTTGCTTTTTGAACATGTTGCACACATTTTAGGTGCCTTTCTTGTGTCAAAATTTTCACTTGCTTTCTGAACATGTTGCACACATTTTAGGTGCTATTTGAGTGAACTTTACACCCCTTTCTTGTGTCAAAATGGGCCCTGTCACTCTCCATGTTGACCATCTAAGTATTATATATATATACATATATATAGAAGAAACATCTACTAGAAGATTATATAGTTTTTGCAAATTGAAGGTTGCGAGGTTACTTGCACAAATTTATATTATGAGCATAATTTTTAGATTATACAATCAAGACATTATGTCTTGTTAATATTAGTGAAATTTAAATTGCAACAATTTTATAAGTATAAGTTGGGAAGGTGATAAATGGTTTAACACTATTCTTTGTTAAACATCTCCAATTAGGTTTTAAACCATTTTTATTGAGATCAAAGTAATTTCCAATTTTGTATAGAGAATGCCATTAACATTATACCAATATCAAAATATTTTTCGCTATATTTGGCTTATGTTAGATCTAAATTTTTTCATCTAAACACACACACAATTAATCCATCAAAGTGCACTAGGATGGAAAGTAAATACTGTTGAGAATAAATATATAATTTAAACTCTTTATACAATATCTCAGGTTTGTTGATTGTCAATTTGACTGAATGATTTTTATCAATGTTAGAGAGAAATTAAGAAATTGAAAATAATATAGATAATGTATCATTATATCGTCTTGATTTTTGCAAAGATAATTCAAACTAGAAGTTTGGAGGATAATTCATTTAAATGCATTCACTGATTAAAGATAATATCAATATCTCACACATTAATTTTAAATGTTCCAACTCGAATTGACATCCCCGTGAGGGCAATCCATTAACATTTGACTAATGTTTGAAGCATGAATATGTTCGATTTTAAGAAAATTTTCAAAAGGAAAAGAAGCATATGAGGAAGATGGTCCCATTTTGGAAACGTATATCTTTGGAGAATATATAAACATAACTAATTATAAAACTCCATAAGAGGTTTAAGTATTTGAAATATTGAAAGTAGAGATATCTCATTAAGTTATGTTATAATGGAAAAGAAAAAGAATCGAAAGGAAAAGTTTTCGACAACACTTTTGTACATAATGTACTACTTCATACTATAAAAGATGAGGATATCAAAATAAATTCGAAAAATCATATCAATGGAAAAAAAAAAAGGAACTGGCCAAATAAAAGGACGCAATCCTAATAAAATTAAACTTATTAAAGAAACCTAAAGTTTCTACATCTACCGTCCAAACCCCTAAATTGACTTATCAAAAATGAAAATAGAAACAATAAAATCATAATATATAATGTACAACTCCTAGCACAATGAATTTCGCAAAGACTTATATATAAATAGATAAATTAACCTGTGATCGATACAATTACAAATCTCTGTCTTGTTAGCCCGACAATGCCTGAAATCTGATATGCATATAATAAATGTGATTGTAGTCAACTTATTTTGTATGTTTTAATACTACTCTTGAAGGATTCTATACCTGAAGTATAAATTCAAGTGATATTAGCATGAGTGGGAGTAAATATGCTTTGTTCTATTTTTCCATTAATCATGGTTCTGTCCCACTGGTTTTTCTGACAATGTTTTTAATGAGGTAACTTTTGTAGCATACTCAAAAGAATAATGTACTTTTTTTCCATCATTAGGATTTTTTCCACATGATTTTTCCAAATAAATTTTGAAATTTTTATTTCAAACAATTTATTACTATTAATGGGAACTGTTGTTTCTTCTGACCATATATAGCGGAAAAGAGATATATATGCAAAAGAAATTAAAATATCAACTAACCAGATAAAATGTCTCACTGATTAAAAGTGATAGTTTCATAGCTTTTACTGTTAAACAAACTCAAAGTGATAATAGATTAATCCTAAATTTATAAGTGTTAACATTTAGTTGACCGATAAGCATCGGACTATGTCATGGTGCATTGCTATACAATTTAAACATTGGACAAGGTGACAGTCTACCTAGAATTTTCTCTTGCTCTGATTTGTAACATTTGTTATTGTCGCTCCAACATTTTGGCTTACTTCAATTTCACACTCAATATGACGCCTTCACCAACTACGCAGGACAGATATTCCGCTTGGCTTTTAGCACCTCGAATTGCATTTGTATTGGAATGATTTGATTTCTGAATCTCGATTTCAAATGCCTACACCTTTTAATTTATACGGAGAATTGGTTGCAAATAGAAGGTTGTAGAATTATGTTATTTTAACTATTATATATGAATTTTATTCGTACATTAACTATTAAAAAAATAATTGCCCCATGCAACGTAAATTTCTGACTTCGCCTGGAAAGCATGTAATATTGAAATTGACCTAACATCTGATTTGATTTGGGCCCATCTTTGTTAATACTTAATAGTAATAAACAATTAAAAAGATGAAAGTCAAGAAGTTTTATTCATATCAATACTAAACACGAGTTACAAATGAAGTGAAGAGAGTCCTTCACCGAGCAGTATCCAAAGCACTGCTACAAACATATCAAGTAAACACTAGAAATATTAAGTAGTCAACTTACACATTCGTGCTTGGAGCTTAATTAGTTAAGCTGAAAATCAGTGTCATAAGCAACTCCAGCCTTCCAATCACTGGGAATGGCACTGTTTAATTGCACCCACTTCACTTCCGCATTGCCCTCGGCCACCACCTGAAGTCTAAAGTTGAGAGGCCCCAGTGGTGGGTTCTGATGGTCGAATACTGTTCCAAAGACTCTTCGCATTGGCCTCCATTCCTTGCAATCCTCCTAACAACATCAATGACAGAGTTACTTTTTTAGAAAGTAAACATTTATTTAAAATTCATGTTTCAAAAAGTAAAAAAGAAAAGTTTATTTGACTTAAAAGTATATACCAGCCATATTTCAACAGCGATGATATCATACATTCCCTCTTTATACAATGGCACTACGGCCAAGTACTGAGGGTATTTGCTATGCTCATGGGCTTTTAGAAAGAGATTATAACCATAACGACATGGAATTCTTTTGAATTCGATGTCAACTACGCCGTATGCAAATAGTTCTGCAGCCATGTTGGATCGAGCCAATTTTGCGTACGCTCGTGTACTCAGTATGAAGTCTGTATGGTCTCCCTCGCCATAATCCGTTACCACTACCTTCGCTCCTTCATCGCTGCAGTGTGTTGGGATTCTGCACCTTACCTAATTCATTTAGTCATTGAAGCATCAGCTTAGAAGAGAAAATAAGCATAAGCTAAAAAATAAATAAATAAATAATTTAGTTATAGCTTTTTTGTCCATTTTCAAAAAATGGCGTACCTGATAGCAAGCACCGCAGCCAGTTCCATTCCTGTAAAGCCTAGAGACTCCAGTGATTTCACCATTGTTGACAAACGTCCCATATTCACCAAACCCACAAGCTCCAGCTAGTAAAATTATGACAAAAACTTTTTGAATTAGCTACAAACTATAATATTACTATCTAATGCATCAGTGGAATATTTGGTAAATGGACAGTAAAATAAGTAAAATCTTGGTAATGACAGTCAAGTACTATTGAGTACCTAACGTGCATTAAAGGTATCGTAAATAAGACATACTTAAGGTTGCTAGGCATTTTGGGCTGCCGTAATAGGTTGCTCTGGAGCGGACAAAAGCATCTTGGCCATGACAAACTGCAGCCGAAAGCAATAACAAAGAAAGAAAGAGGCTATAACAAGCCATATTTCAGACAATTCCAATTCTTAAAGTATTAATACAAAATTATGAATTAATAGACTGGACGAGGAATGAAATACCTTGAATGAAAAGGCCATATTTATAGCAGAGCAATAGCAGACTATGTGAATGATTCAATTCAACCTTTATGATTCCACTAATGAATAATAAATCCAAGTGCGGGGGAAGTGGGATAGGTGAAACAGGATACGTGTACAAATTAAGCAAGGTCTTAAGTGCATCTTTAAACATAATGTACTCTCTACCTTAATAAACTCTTTAAATTAACGTCTTATAATAGAGAGTGAGTCGAACCCTTTTCTATAATTAAATGCGTTCAAAGTATTTCAATTTTTATTGAAGGAAAATAATATATAATTTGAAGGGGAACTAGTGAAAATAAAATCTAAGAAAAAAATAAATATTTTTTGGAAGTAGCAAAATCAATGTTAAATATAAAGAGTTTGTTGGCGTATTTAAAAATTCTTACTCTATAAATTTATAAATGTTCTCTATATTGCATATGTTCTTCAAAAATAGAAAATCTTTTAAAGATGCTCAAAGAGTATAATGACTTGAGAAATACTTTCATTGAAGTTAAAGTTTTAAAATAGAACCCACCTTGAGACTTGTGTGGTATCAGAGTCAACAAGCTCAAAGAACAATTTTTAACACTTTGAGGATCGTTCGGGTAATGAGTATGAATCTGCTCATATGTCATCATACACTGGTAAAATTAGTATTTCGAGGTAAAGCACGTAGAAAGCAAGGTGAAGAAATGCAATAAAGTTCACCTTGTATGCAAAAACAATCCGTTCACAGTATATAATATAACTAAATTGATTCAGGCAATTTATCGTAATTTGAATTCATCCATATTTGTCAAACAAGCAACTTTCACAAAAATAGATTTGAATTGCATGTGATCCGAAAATTATGAAAAATGAATCGTGACGGTGGTGGCATCGTTATACAAATAAAAACGTGAAACACAAAAATATAACCACATATGGATAAATCAGTCACACGTGATATGTTTAGATGGAAAAAATATGACCACATACGAACAAATCAATCAAAAAAGTGAGATCATAGCATTTCATATATGTTCATGCAAGACACTCGTGCAATGTTAGGATGAACCGAAGTCTGACTTGTGGAACTGAGCTGAGGGAAGGACTGAACTGTCATTAACGACAGTTCATCTGTTGAGAATTATTGAGGCTAACTGTCGAGAACCATAGTTAAGCACGATGGCATTTCTCTACATTAGTGAACTGTTGACATATAAACTATCAGGAAATCTACTTTTCACCTCTAAGCAAATGGTATTATTGAAAATTATTTCACTTCATATTCGAGCATAACGAAACATTAAAACCACAGGTATGATGTCAACTGTCTAGTAAGAGTTCAACCCAAATACGAGTACCGCCCACAACAAATGGATTCCAAGCAATAACAGTGTTATTTTCACATTACAAAAGTACCAAAAACATTGAAACGAAAGATATGTCAAGTGTCAGTCCAGATTTCCACCCAACATTAAAACATCCAAAATGTTTGAAATCTAAACTTTTGAAAGCAAAGGAAGAGGATAAAAATTAAACTGGAACCCTAGATAATTCTCCCTCAACATTAGTGTTAGTACGTGTAACGTGTGCATATATGCATCACTAATAGAAAATGTATACAAAAGAGAAAATGAAAATTTATGGTATGAAATTGCGGAAAGTAGGGGAAAAACATTTCCAACCATAACACAGCTAAAAATTATTCAAAACATCCAAAAAAATTACAGGATATTAAAAGAATTTTTACCTCTTTCTAATCCAAGCTCCAACTCTTATTTTAAACCCATCAAAAAGCTCCATTTTTTCGCATCTCATAAACCCTTTACATATAAAAATATTACAAAAATTGAGTAAAGAAAAAAAAAGATTTTTCTCTCTTGGATTAAAGCTCGTAATGAGAGAAATGAGAGAGAGTGTGAGAGAGTTGGGGTTGTTTGAATGAGAGAAATAAGATTCATCTTCTTTTTTTATTCAACTTTTCATCCTTGACATTGACAAGATTTTTGTACAATTTCTTCCATTGGATCAAGTCATTTAATGAGGACATGGAGTGTGTTTGAAATTATTTTGAGGGTCAAATATGTCTAAAATTGACATTCTTACAATGCCAAAAAAAAGTGACATTTTTGTAAATGTCTTGGGAAAATTTGACAACCACTGCAATTTCCTCAAAATAGAAAATAGAAAATCTTTTAAAGATGCTCAAAGAGTATAATAACTTGAGAAATACTTTCATTGAAGTTAAAATTTTAAAATTGAACCCACCTTGGGACTTGTGTGGTATCAGAGTCAACAAGCTCAAAGAACAATTTTCGATCCGTCTAGAGTTCAAATGAGCAATCGGATTTTGTGGGATATATTAAAGGTATAATAATACATTGCAAGAGCAGCCTTAATAGTGCCTTTCTTTGTAGCTACTTGTCCACCTCAAGGCACGTGCAGATTTCTATATACAAATGCCAGCAGAAAAAATCTTGTCATTATGAAAGTGTATGTTGATAATGTAGAGAAATTGTGATATTAAACTAGTGTCGAAATAAAAATTTGCTTGACGGCAGGCTGTCTAGAGCACCTAATTTAAAAAAATTTAAAGAGGGAAGGCTAATATAAATTTATCTTTTGATGAAGATAGATTCTAAGAAGACGATAAGTTTATCAAGAAAAACGTTATAGAAATTAAGGGCTTGTGTCTTTTAAGCTAATATAATGTTTTATCGATGTAAAAGTCGAAATCGATGAGTTATGAACAACTTGTTCAACCTTGTTTGTTGCATTTCAGCTAAAGCTTACATCCGTGAAACTTGAGAATACAAGAAATATCCCTTGGCATTTGAAACAGATAAAGTTACTAATTGTCTCCCTTTCAAAAAAAAAAAAATTACATTGTACATAAACCTAAAATTTTTATCTATATTTTATCCACACATTTTCCAAAATGTCACTATTTAAGGCATTGTTTTTCTCAATAATGACCATCAAACAGGGCAAAATTCAGTGGGAATAAAAGTATAATTCTCTAAATACTCATGATTAAAATACTAAGGAAGGACAATTACTTTTAGCCTTTAGGTACTTTGCCAGTTGGTCTACATCTTAAGTGCATTTGGATACTTCTAAGTTCTATATTTAAGATAATATCAAAAGCTGAATAGGGGATATGATTCAATCGGATCAACTTGCCAAGTATGAATTTAACAGTATTTTAGAATGATAATAACTTTTCTCTAAGTTGAACATAAACTTTTTTTCTCTATTTTGTCTTTCTCCTGCATCAAATATCAATTTTCTCGCCTTCATGGGCATAGCACAGTGGTAAAGTAAGAGAATTCTCTACAGAACATCGGAGGTTCGAATCCCCACGACAACTGGAAAGCATCTGTTTTATGGAGGCAAAGTTATGGTGTACTTTATCATCTTTCCGGGGCCCTGTCCGCACGTCATAAAGGGAGGTCCGTGGAGAGGAGAATTGCATTCCGAATATCCAACCCAAGTATGTATAAACTGTGACCGCATTCGAATTTATTTGGGCGACGAACCGAGGAAAGGCTATCACTCCTTAAAATTAGTCAGGCGAAGGTCGGACATCTTATTCTATTTGGGCGTCAATTATAATATTAAATTTTGCGAATATTTTCTCTAACACAAAAACTTTTAAGGTATTAACAAGTGGAAAGATCTACAAAGTCATGTTTGATCAGGAGCACTAAACTTGATGGAGCTAGGCCCTTTGAACCAAACACTAATTCATTGTTCTTTATTATTTTTGTACTACATTTAAAAATGATGTTCTGTACAAAATTAATCTATTTGTTAGTTACATTTCCACGTACATAGGCCTATATTGGTGGATTAAGCTAGGAGTTGAACTACATGTATAGAAAAGAATTTGTCAGACAACTTACAAATGACACACAATCCATGAGGTGGGTGTGTATATTTTTTCAATATAAAACTCACATGGAACCCACCCCATGTGAGCTTTCTGGGTTTATTCTGTAAGGAAAATTCTGTACAAACAGATTTTTCCTTAAACCAGTAACATTGAGTAAACCAATTTTTCTTCTAATTTGTCGTTATTGATGTCCAATCGTTCTGGCCATTTGTCAATTTTATATTGTGAAGAAGGTTCCTCATTTTTATTTTTTATTTTTTGATAAAGCACCATCATATTCTCTCGATGTTTTTTTTAGGCTATGCCAAGACAAAATAGAGGGTTAGAATTCTCATACCATGATGTACATTACAATAAATGAATGGGATGACATATACCTTACTTTCAGTCAAATGAATAAAATCTGAAAACAGTAAATGATGAGGTACTGCTTCATGTACAACTATTGAAAAAAAAAATGCAATTCTATTCTTAATTATAGACGTGTATTATTAGAAAATGAGAAAAATAAAGTGGCTAAAACACAAGACACAATTAAACAATTCATTAAAGCTCCTTGATGCTGGGAACTTGTACGTGTAAAAAAATTAATAGAAAATTGTATCTTGCATTATAAATTATAATGTCACTATGATGTAACATATATATCTTTAAACGTCCCTATACAATGTAAACATTTTCGTTGGGATCGATGTACATAGTTTGTGATTCGAGATCTAGCATATGTGTTTTGCATTCAACCGAAGAGTAGATTTTACCACGTCCAATACCCTAACCTTGATTATATTCATTATCTTACGGGCCAAATTGTTTCAACTATAAGCTTATTTCAGCCCCGTTCTTCGGAAAAGAAATGCATTTTTCTACAGCGTTTTGACATTAATTATTTCAACCACATATTTTTCAATAAAATAATATTATAGCAAATGAAGGGACGTTCATTTCCAAGTATAAGGAATTTTCGGGGCAGGATTTAAATTTGATCCTCAGAAGTATTATCATTTTAGAGGCTCAAGGCCTAATTTGCATGGAAAATTTTAAAATCGTCATTGCCTAGATGGATTATTTGCTTAAGATGTTCTTATGGTTATTCACTTATTCTTTTAATGGGAGTAGTACTTCCAGATTTATAAATTTATTTATTTTTTTATTGATATGTCGGGATATAATTACTAAAATGAACATTGATTATAAAGTTGTCTTCTTTCTTTCTTTTTCTTTTTTTTGTTGTTGTTGTTGTTCTTATTAACGGTATTATAAAATTTATTCTTATAACAACAATAATGTCGAATTTTTTTGACAATGCATTTAGTATAATAAAATAAAATAAAAATCAATTAAATCTCAAATTTATAAAATTATAAAATAAAATAGTTGATATAATAGAAAATTGTTAAAATTAAATTAAATTACCTTTAATGCATAAAACTCAATTTGCTTTTATCAGTTTATTTTTGAAATATCAGTAAACCTTGGATATAAAATAAATTACACAATTAAATAGGGCAGAAATTGATATTTCGTCGTCGGCATATATTTCGCGCTTCAACGGCATTCGAAAAGACGAAACTAATAATGAATAAATGAAATGGGATTGAACTGGCGTGCAACAATGCTTCTATCTTTCCATTAATGCGTCATAACCACTCCAAAAAATGATGCATTTCGTCGTCGGCATGTATTTCGCGCTTCAACGGCATTTGAAAAGACGAAACTAATGATGAATAAATGAAATGGGATTGAACTGGCATGCAACAATGCTTCTATCTTTCCATTAATGCATCATAACCACTCCAGAAAATGATGCATAACCCTACTTGCTGGATGCTAACAAGCACTTGGATGTACTTCATTCAATCCGAATTTCCCTTGCAACACTAGTGCATTATCAAGGATGAAGAGCATAAACTCAAGTGGGAAGCCACAAAATAATGACACCCAATACCTAAAAAGGCTATAAACAAAAGCCACAAAATAATGACGCCCAATACCTAAAAGGGCAACTTACAACAATACCTTTAAAATTAGGCCCTTGTTTGTTTCCTATTTTTTCTTCATTAAAATGAAAAATATAACCGTTATCCATCACATCAAACCACCAAATTTGAATTTCTATCTCTTGTGTGGAGTCCATAACTATATTTTTCATTCTCATTTTTGCAAAAATGAAAAACAAACGCCCCCTAGATGTCTTTTGAAAAATCATATGAAAAAATTTTTGGAAATAAAAAATACTGCCTAAAGTTAAAAAGTGACACAATGTCACTTTTTTTTCAATAAAAATTGTCATTTTTCTTTTTTTTTAAAAAGTGACACAATATCACTTTTAATAATTTAGTATCACCTTTTTATTAAAAAATGACATATAATCTCACTTTTAACAAAAACTGATATTTGTCACTAAAAAATTGTAATAGAAATTTCAAGATGACTAAAAAAAGTGACAAATTCAAAAAAATAAAATAAAAGTGATAAATTCAAAAAGTGGCAAAAAAAAAAGTAACACGAATTAAAAAAAAAAGTTACACGGATTCAAAAATAAAGTGATACAAAATAAAAAAAGTGACACAATATCACTTTTTTTTTTAAGTGACACAAACACTTAAAAAGTGACAAAATTTTAAAAAAAAAAAGTGACACTCAAAAAAATGAAAAACACAAAAATAGTATCATCCATTATACAGCACTAGTAATCATATTCTTAACATAATTAGTATATCCAAAACAATCCACATGAGCTTAGTGGAGTTCTTAACATAATCAACATGTCCAAGGCAATCCACATGCTAATTGAGTTAGGGAAATATAACATATCATGTCACTTTTTATCTTATTAAATAAGTGACAAAAATTTAAAAGGTGATGAAAACTCAAAAAAAGTGACAAAATGTAAAAAAGTGACAATGTCACTTTTAAAGTTTACTGTCACATTTTTATTAAAAAAATGACATATAATGTCACTTTTATTAAAAAGTGATATTTGTCACTAAAAAAATGATAGAAATTTTAAGAATGCAATTGATAAAAAACTGTCAAACACTAAAAAAAAGTGACAAATACTAAAAAAAAGTGTCAAAAATTTAAAAAAATGACATAAAATTTAAAAAAGTGACGAATTTAAAAAATGACACAAATAAAATAAAAAAAAAAGCTACATAGATTAAAAAAGTGACACAGTAAAAAAAGTGACAAAACTAAAAAAAGCTACACAAATTACTTATTACTAATAGATCCACGACAAAAAAGGAACATGAAACTCATTCAACTCTACATCACTGAGGGCACCATCTTGTCATGTCACATAGAGTAGATATCATCTTCGAAGCCCTCACACATCGTGACTTCAAAACTTTAATAAACACAACTAATATAAGTATTATTGAAGAAAAATTCAAAATTCAATCACAACTAATGACAAGAAAACTTGAAATGGATAGCATTTCTACAATCACAACCCCCACTCCCCGGCCCCCATAAAAAATTCAATTTTAAATTAAGTCATAAAAAACTGAATTTTGATTGACAATCAAAAGCATTCATATACATATCTCGCTCATGAAACTTCCAGAATTACAATCTAAGATTTTGAACCCATTCCTTCTTCCAATTGCAAAGCAACTGACCCAAAATAAATTATACATCCATTTAATTTAGAAAAATAAATGAATTTGAGATCTGCAATGGGTAAGGATGAGCGTAGTCGTGGCATGGTTGAAGATTTCTCTCTGTTGTAAAGGTATGGCAATTTAGGAGTTTTTTGGAATTGAGAATCGGGAGTTTTAATTTGGGTGTTTTAGGGTTTGGGGTGTTAGAACGTATTAATTACGTGATTAAAGGTTTAATGAGCTAATAGGGTATTATTCAAATTCTTTAATTTTGGAGAGTAGGAAATCTAATTTTCCCTACCTAAAAAGGCTATAAACAAGACGTTACCAATCGACCCAGTACCTTTTAACAGAAAGATCAAAAAGCATATGTTGCATGTTATGCTACGATGTGCAGACACAAACACGTGTCCAACACAATACTTGTCGAATAAGTTGATACACAATTTTTCAAAAAATAGTACTGACGCAACACATCGTCAACATGCTGATTAAATTTTTAGAAATCTTTATTTATATAGTATAAATTTAGTTCTATACTTATAAATTTTTCTTGTTGAAATATTTTAAATATTAGTACATATTGATTATTTATTAATAATTTTCAGTTAAAAATATATGATATTTTTAATAAAAGAAAAATGAAAAATGATCAAGCCAAGGTGTGTCAGTATTCAATACGTGTTCGACACGAACACCCTATCCTAGTTGAAGTGTCTGTACAAGATAGGTCTAATGTGTTGAATCACTCAAGTGTCACATCAGTAAATTTCCACCTCCCACGTGTCACAAGTTCTCCAAAAAGATAGAAGCAACTAATTGAGATAATGAGGTGCCCATGGAAAGAACCAGCAATTGGTGTTTCTAAAATTGGCAGATGCTCATTCAGTATTATATTGCCAGTGGAGGTTTAAAATATGGTGAATGAAACAAGTGAATGTACATTTAGAGTGCAAATGTTCACCAGAGGAGGCATCAGGAAACAATGAGAAACCAAAACATTGGCTTGAGAAGTAAAACATAAACTCAATTTAATCAAGTGTAATTGTTATTCAAATTATGGTACAAGAAAGATATGCTTAACTGCATTACTTGGAAACGTCATCCTCTTACAGCATGATGTCATGTACTGGGAAACACTAGGATTCACTGTAAATGAAAACGAGTGGAAATTTCAAATTTTAACAGTAATTTAAGGATATCAAGCTACGTTCACTCTACCAATTCAGTCAATCAAATTTAGTACAGCTGCTGTTATATTGACAGATGTAGACAACGGACGAGTTTGTGACAAGGGGAATAGCCATAGTGAAGAATTGCCCTAAACCTGTTGCATTAGATTATTTACCATTTGCAACTGGTTCAACATCAAATAATTTACACGATCATGATTACCAGGTAATGATCGTACCACCCCTATCGTTGCTTCTTGGATTGATAATAATTTTGTGTAATTTATATAAGTTGAGCTTTTTTCAGGTCAGTCAAAACCCCTCTATCTTCACTGCTCCTTTCGTTGTACAGAACCTTATCATTGGGAGAAAATGTAAGTTGCATGATGCCCTCAAAGCCAAAATAATATATGACATAGCTAAATAGAGGTACTTTACCTTGTCAATGATCCCATATTCAACTGCCTCGCTCGGACTAAAATATTTTGGACGCCTTATGTCTTCTTCAATCTGCTCAGGCGATTTTCCTATATGCTTCGAGTAAAGTTTAACCTTTGCAAATCAAGTATGAAAGGTCAATAAGCATAGGTTCAGCTGTTTGCCAAGGATATACATTGTTATCATTTTGCAATGCAACTTCCAATGGAAACGAGTGTGACGGATGATGACTCTTTCACATGCACGCAGGCATAAATACAGTTGGTCAAAAGCATGCAACAATGAGCACACAAAACAGACATTCTTTTCGATTTTCTGCAACAAGAAAACATGGGACTAAGCAGAGGGAAACAAAGACCCAAACGATTGTTCGTTACCAACTCAGCCTTCACATTTTTAACTTCTTTTCTCATAAGTTCAACATCTGATGCCTGACCTTGAAATCTTGCAATTGGCTGCAAATTACACGGCCTAATGGATATTAGTATAGAAATAACACTGAGCAAGGAAACAAAATCAAATTGTTGCAATACTAGGTTCGTTAGTGTGCCTTGAAGGATGGGGATTGATTAGAACCGAAGGCAGATTATCAATTCTCAAGAATTTAAAATCAGAAAGAAAAACATGCATTTTAGCTAACAAGAACCTGCTTAATCATGATTGTTGATGACGGCAAGGCAGAACGGTTGCCTTTTGCACCAGCAGCCAAAAGCAAGGCTGCTTCTCCCCAAGCATTTCCAACACACAGTGTGAAAATAGGTGGCTTGACATACCTTCATGCCCAGTTATTCATTAGATTGCAATGAATACAAGAAAGTGAATTTACACACTTGACACAACAATAGTTGAGCACATGGTTCAACATTTCCAAAATATGATTATTCTTTCATCATATATCTTGAAATGTTCAAGATAGCAAAAGTGATTCTGAAAAAAATTTAATGATTTTAAGCGAGATGAGATTTATATGACTTCATTGAAGGAAAGGGGAAAAATAACTTCACGAATCTGTCAAATGCCCATGACTGTATAATCTTAGTAAGCAAGATGATAGCTTTAGCTCAATCTACACTAACAAGTAAAACTAAATAAAACATAGCAAGTAGAAGACACAATCTTCCATCATTGCTCTATTTCAGAAATTTTAGTAAATGCACATTTTCACAAAACTGATTCGCAGATATTAATATTATCTTATGGTTGAACCATATTTTCAAAATGGCTACACAAAGATCAATCTTGCAGCAGCCTTTTATGCCACTGACAAAAATAAGGTACAAGAATGACAATAAGATTTATAACCTCATAACATCATAAATTGCAAAAGCCTCTGTCTCGTAGCCCAACTTCTCCCCACCCTGCAAAATTGTGAAAATTAAATAGAATGATGAATCAGTCATCCTGAAGTATGTTCATCATTTCATTTTGCAGAAGCTTCACATTAAAAGCTTACAAGAACAATTATTCATGAAATTTGAGAACTACGTGTTCCCTAGTGCAATGCACAGTAAAGGGAAAATGCCTTTACAAGCCAATTATGACAGCATTTTCTGAACCCAATATAAAATTAAAAAAATAGGATGGAGTTGAAACGGTTATACTTTTAACAACAAATTAGTCCAAGGCACTGCCATCTAAAATATGTATGCATCAATAACATGCAAATTTTGCAGAAGAGCCTCAATGCAGAAATTAAAAGGGCTGAGATTAGCCCAAATAAGAACTCTCCTGAATCTTCCACAAAATTCAAGTTCAGGGTAATAATTTCAAGTGCATGCCAATAATGCATTGGATTTGGGAAACAATTCCCCACTTTGGCTACGGTTTAAGGAACAGGATTCCTTCCACACACCCCTCAACCCAAGAAGAAGGGATAGGAAACCAACTAAAGGAAACATATCAAGTAGAATATGTATTATAGTTAACAAGGAAAAATATTCAATAGAACATAGATTTACATAAAAAATAAACCTACCAGCCTGTTTGCCACTATTAAACTCAAAATTTAAAAAAAAAAAATGGCAAGTAAAATTGATCATATTTATATATCTATCTATGCATGTAATTCTTTCTATTGGAAAGGGGAAATAAATTTCTGAGGCTGTATATCATCAGTCTTATAATCATCAAGTGGCAATTGAAGCGCAGATGTAACTCTGTTCGGGCATGATGTTAATCTTAATTACAAATCCTTATGCTGAAAAATTGAATTCTATCTTAAGCTGCTGAAGTTTTAAGCAATGATAAATTGGTAAACTCAACAATATGTCGTACCCTTTTCCACAAGATTTGAAGCATCTTTGTAGATTAGTCAGATAAGCATAATTAGGTCTAACCTTGGTTGTACCGGTGGAATTTATGTAAAGATAAATTGGCTTTTCCTCGTCTTCATACTGAAGGTAAAGAAACTCAGCGAGTATCAGTTCCGTGACAGATGGCACCAGAGACATGCCCAAGTAGACAATACGATTCTTATACAAGTAAGATGCTAAATCTGGAGGAGGTTGCTCCCAGGCACTTCCTCTTGAGAAAGGGATGACCTGTTAATAGAATTGTACCCCAACCAACATTCAAGATGCTAATGAGAATATTAGAAGCATATTCATTATAAGTATGTGGGATATACTATTTTTAGACTTCAATAACAGTCAAGAAAATCACCAAAACAAAATAGAGGACACAAACAACGACTAGAAGCATGGCCAGATCAACAATGATTAAAATGGTTTGTGGGGCATTTGGAGAAGAAAATTAAAAATAATGATTCAAACAATGTTTAATACGCTTATCAATAATTTTATTTTATCCATAATGAGATAGATTGAATTTAATGATATTATTTTACTAAGAGGAAAAAAATTGAGATGCTACTGTTTATTGAGTGCAATGAGTTAAACAAGTTACCAAAAAAGGACACAAACAGCAACAAGAAGCATCACCACATAGACAATTCGTATCTTACCCAGATAGCATATCATCATATTGAAAAATTAAACAAATGCACTTGTCATGGGCTAGTTGTTTGAGAAGAAAGTTCTATACACCTTAGAATGCAGATGAGAAATAAGATGATGGAAAGAGAATAATAAAAGAATTTACAATAATCTTATCAATAATTTTACCATACGAGCAAAATAAATAGATTGTAATGCATAAAAAAGTTTGATCAAAATTAATAGAGTAATGTGACTCGTTTTTCTGATCTTTGTGGATGAAGAATACGTATAAATTTGTAAATTCACAATAGATTCACAATAAAATCTCCAGTGAAGAATTTATAAATTCTTTGTAAGAACCAATTCCCCATCATTAAAAGCCAAAATTTCGACTTAGAGCCCTGCTCATTATTAAGAATTCACAGTCCACAGAAGGATAAGCCCAGCTCTATCACAAAGGAGTTCATCATTTCTTAAGTTGAACAAAATAAGAAGCTATGATGCACTGACACGAACACGTGTGTCTAATGGACATGCCGACACACGATTCTTTAAAAAAGTACGAAGATGACAAGTCGTCAAAACATTCATTAAATTCTTTAAAATTCTTCATTTATATAGAATAAAGTTAGTTTTATACGTGTTATTAATTTTTCTTTTCGAAATATTTTAAATATGAGACTATGAGTAATGAGTATCTATTTGTTATTTAATGATAATTGTGAGTTAAAAATATATTATACTTTTGATAAAGAATGAAAAATGAGTCTGCATTCGACACGATACAAACACATGAACGAACACAACACTTTAGTTGAAGTGTCTGTGCAACACAGATAAGGAGGGATCATTTCCTACAAATTGGTGTGGGTAAGTATGTTGTACTTACATAGCAAGCTCATGCAACTCCTTCACCCTCCAACTTCCAAATAACGTGAGAATCAAGTGTACACATGGAAAAGTTTATGTTTCTTCTTGAAATTTATCTATGACAACCAACATATACTCATACTTTTAATAAAAACACATATCATTGTTTCAATATATACTTTCCGATTGAAGCTCTAGAATAAGGGATTTCTTCAAATTGCCCTCTCTAGTGCTCTCATTCCTGCTGCAACTTCGTCCCCATGCTCTAGCGTCCAACATCTATTACCAGAGTTGGAAGTATGGAGACTATTCTCATTGAGGTTAGAGTTAGATTCTATACTCAAAAGAACTGTCGCTGATGGTTCAGATTATGAAATATAAGCTTTACTAATAAATGAGAAAATAACTATTGGGCTTTCATCAAACTGCAGTGGGATGCCGATCATATAAGTGGATTCAAAAGTAATTTTAAACATTTGAGTTCTAGTTTCAATTTGTTAACATTAATTTTCTTCTATTTTGAAGAAATTATGTTCTTGAAAACTTGGTTAACATCGTAACTTGGGCAAGTGGACACCAATATGAGACATTTTCATCCAGTGCCTGGAGTAATGTTTGCTTAACATTGCCCATAAATGTAAATGGAGGAATGAAGAATGGAAACCAGACAAAGCCTCCAAAAGCAGCCAGCCCTTTAGTTTCATAAATGAAAAATTAAATTTCTCGGAAAACTGCTGTCTCCAAATTAAAATTTTTTCAATTTTTGTTACATGCCTGATCAGTCCATTAACTTTTCCAAGTCCAACGTTTTCTTTCACCAAATACACTCTGTCTGCATGTGAAAAATGCTTACTACTTGCCCAAGATTTATGAAAAAAAAATCTGAAGGTACTCGAGTACCATGGTTTTCCCGTCCTGAAATCTAAGCCAACGTAAGGCACCATCACTACATGGCATACAAAGTACATAATATATTGGCCAGGTCTGAGCTAAATTAATGTCCTTCACAAGAGGAATGACTTTAATTAAGGATAAAATTCTTTGATATCATTCATATGCAGTGACAGTGAGGAATGCTCCCAAAGACTAAAACCGACATGCTGGACAGGATCTCAGAATTTTTCGTGGCTCCTTCTGAGGACAAGAAGAGGAATCACTAAGAGGCCAGCAAGAAAGTGAAAATTGAAAATTTTGGAGGCCTATAAATTAGAACAACCAGAGTTGCTCAGAAGGTTGCTGTAGCAAACTCCAAAGAGTAAAACTCTAGACTCCCAGAGGTACAAAGAAACACATGGTCAAAATGATTATGTGGTTAAAGATGGATCCTCATTTGGAGGTGTGGTGCTGGAAGTTGGGATATTATATGTGTTGGCGCCAGCTGGATTTGGATGGTAAAAATACTTTCCTTTGTTAGATACTGTATAGAACTTGGTCTATACTAGTTTTAAGAAGTTTAATCAAGTACCAATAACTTTTATCTTTGTGAGGCGAGGTGTACGCCTCAATGCACTTTGAGGCGTAAGCCTCAAGACAAACCAATAAAACGATTCAAAGTAATAAAAGAAAAGCTCATGATTAACCATAAACCATCTTTGAAAATTCATAATGAAATTGTTAACAAAATAAAAGTCTAACTCACAGACAAAAATAAATAGATTAACTAAGTAACAAATATTAAGTTCTCAAAATAGTAATCACAAAACAAAATCAAAAGATACTAATAGAAGTAGAAACAACTTAGGTATCTCTTATAACATTACTGCAGAAAGGATCTTTAAGGAAATCAATCAAATGATCAACATCATCATCACTATAGGTTTCTTCTCATTCTTTATCATCATCTTTCCACTAACAATCATGTATTCTCCTTCCCCTTTCCCTTCCATGTAAGCATAAAAAATAAATAAAGAAATAAATAAATAATTACCCGTTAAACAATCTAGAATACCAATAAATAACTTAAAAATCTAAGGCTGTTGAGTTTTATGCGCAATAATAAAAATATAAAATAGAGAAATCAACACAAGAATTTACGTGGTTCGACAGTGTGACTACGTCCACGAGAGCGAATCGGAGATAATTTCAATCAGTAGTAAAAAATAGGGTTATAACATATTATTTCTACTAACCCTATCTAAAAGATTTTAAAGCCCGTAAAAGAAAATACCCTATACCGTACCACGAGGGCGTTGCCCCCGCACAGCACCCCCAACCCATTTAGCATCCCTGACGACCAGACACTAAATTAAACCCGCGCAAGGCCTTGAACCCGCGCAAGGCCAATGCCTCCACTCTATATGAACCACATACATAACAAAAGCCAATAACAAAAACGTCCATAAAAAGACAAGACATAAGGGAGAATACCCACCTTAAGGCGTAAAGACTCGCAAATGGCCCTTAAGAAATAAGCTCCAAGGCATTTTATGGAAGCCTCACATGAGGCAGGATTCAATGCATAAGCCTTAAATATCCCTTTTACTAGTGAGTCTATAAAAAACTTCAATTTTTTATGACTTTAAAGCTACCATCCAAGCCATCTGATGTATTGAATCAAAGCCAAGCTCTCTCCCTTAACCCAACCACCACCATCATCTCCCAAATGTTGATGATAACTAGGTGCAAAATTCCTCCAAGGAGAAATAACCAAAAATTTAGAGCCATCATCCAGTATGAAGAACCATCAAAGTTAGCAGCATCCATTTTCGTTTGTTGACTTCTATTGATAGGATTATCATGAAAGACCTCCACTCCATCAAAAATTCATCCCAAATAATTTCAGTGACATTTGTAACCAAACAGAAAACTCTTAGCCATTAGTGAATTTTAGTTGCAATGTAGCCCAATTAGTGATGTCTCTCTTCAGGATTGTCAGAGCTCCTTGGATCTTTGCCTATGGTTGAAAGTTAACTACATTTTTTAAACAATAATCACTCTTGAGATAATTCTTAGAAGGTTCTTTTTCCTGTTTCTTTTTCCATTTGGACCATTTGGGAGAGGGTCTTAGGGATCAGTCTAGATGCCCCGAACAGGATGTACAGTACAGTCTAACCAATCCTAGCTTCCAAACCTATCCTAGTAGGGATGGGATTCTATAAAGAGTTCTATGTTATCTATAAGAAAAGAGAGAAGGCTTGGTAGGAGTGCAGTAATGGTTGTAGCAAACCAAGCCAGTATGGTACTAATGCTTTCTTCAGGAATAACATCAATTTTGAACCCTTAAGCTTAAAGCCAATCCTGATACCTCTGCTTCCTCTGAGGGAATGAGTCCCACTTAAAAATGTACATATTGAACCAAGCAAAGACAGGATATCTACAGGTTATATACTGACAGGGCAGCTAAGGATCAGTGAATTGAGAGTTTCACTGGATTATTTAATTGTTATGCCACCAACATTTCACCTTAGCATAGGTATTGAGGGGTGAATAGCAACTACAAATATCCTAAACATCACTTATTTTGAAGTTAAGAGAGATTTTCAGTCAGCTATATCACAATGTTATCACTCATCATCATTCTGTGCTGATCATGACTATGGAATACTCAAGCAGAAGTTTGGAGTCACAATCGAGCCATCTGTGAAGGGAAAACATGCACCTGATAGAAAATGCAGGGTTCCAAGAAGAATGGTTTAAACTTTAGATTAATGTCGGCCTGACTAATGAGAGTTCAAATAAGGTCTGATATCCAAGATTTTATGTGAACAGAGAGATCGGTAGAGAGAGAGAATGTAAAATAGATGTAAGTAGAAGTGGCCTAAACTAGGCTGCATAAAAGTCACAGCAAATACTATGCCAACAAAAGTTGCAAACAAATGGCTGCAAGGTTTTTTTGTTATAGACCAATGAAGATTCCAATGGCAAGTTGAGCAGATCCATTCTACATTTTATTTAAGTGAACAGTAAAAGTACCACCACCGAGAGCTTGAACTTCGTGATAAAAGACAGATGTTTCAAAATTATCACAGAAAATGACAACAAAAGTCGGAATATGCATGTATCAAATTTACTACAAATATCTGATGCCAATATTTTTTACATTCATTTGGTACAAATACATCAAAATACTCCTTTAATGACTTTTGAGATACTTTTTGATTAGTAAAATTAGAAACATGTCATATCAACAACAGAATGAAATCAAAACCGATACCTAGTTAAGCAAAAAAGCCATTCTTTTTTTTTTTTTCAGCTCTAAATGACGCCATCACATATGGTATGTACAAAAATATACACCATTCCATATACCCAACAAAACTGAAGAACAGAAAAGCATAGTCCTCAAGCTCAACTGATAGCAAAAACCCACATATAAAAAAACACGTGTAAGCGGAGAAAGTGTACCATAGTGACGACACCGCGTTTGGCGCGAGAGGTGGAGGAATAAGGATTGAGGGAGATGGGTCGGATTTTATGACCCGAAAAGTTCCCCAATACGCTGCCACCCACGAAAGGAGAAAGAAAGCTGGTGGATAAAGAGGCTCCTACAGAGGAAGGAGCAGATAGAATCGGGTTCGGACACGGGGAGGCCAACCTAATTCGGGTCGTTGGAAGGAAGTGAGAAGCCATTGTTGCCACTGACAAAGTAATAATAGCTCGGAGGAGGGAAGATTGGCTTCAGTGGAGGCTTTGGAGGATTCCAAGGTGGTTTGAGATGGATACAAGAATGGGTCGGGTGGTGTCGGGTGGTTTACATCTTGACCGGAATTGCCTCCCAGCAGTGACCGAGTTGGTGGAGTAGGTGAGCACAGAAACAGAAACTTTTGATCACAAGTTCAATTTTTTTTATCAATACTTTCTCAATCGAGCCTGTCGCACAAGACTTGTTCAGTACGATTTACCTGACTGACGTAGTTTGCAGGCTATTGCGTCAAGATTTACCCAATGTGCACCTGAAGAGTACTGACTGCGGATGCCCCCGTCATCAAATATATATAGTGGGTCGGGTTGTTTACATCTTGATCGGAATTATAAATTTGTGCCCTGTAGGGCTGGATAAAACTCTCAAACCGAATCAATCCTAATCTAATGATTCTTCTCAAGTTAAATACCCGAACGGGTATTTGAATTAAGAACCGACAGATATGATTCGATCTCAGTTCTAGGTCAAGACCCGAAGAACCAAATAAGAACCGAATCTCCGTAATTTTTTTAATTAATTTATTTTAAAAATTATTTTATTTTTTCTAAATAAATTTGTTAATTAGTTAATTTAGTTCAAACGACAAAATATGATTTTCTTATTTCTAATTTTCAATTCAAAATCAACTTAATCAAATTGACCTCAATTTTATCAAAATCTGTTATTCTACTGTAGTGTCGTTTCTACCGAAAAAAATCGAATTAAAACTCTACAACATCTCTTTTAATTATTTTGAGCTCGTTATCTCTCTTTCTGTGAAATTTATGAAGAATTCAGCAAAGAGAGACGTAAAACACATAAGATTGAATTACGTTATTTTGTAAGAGTTAAAATTGAATATATCATTAATTAAATTAACATAACTTTGTATATATTAAAAAATTTAATTATAATACGGAACCGAACCCGAACGGTTCCGTAATTAAATTTGGACCCAACGATTCCACTTACTAAATACCCGAAAATTTCGGATTAGTTCGGTTCTCGTTAGAACCGAACCGGATCATGTCCAGCCCTAGTACTCTGGCTTTTCTTTTCTTTTCTTTTTCTTTTAAAGTAAAAAATGGAAATTTACTGAAGTTCGGGTTAGAGAGAAAAATATATCTCACCTATAAGTGAAGAAGATAAAAATAACGGTTGGAATAGTAAAATAACGGTCAAAAATTGGTTTTTTTTAGGCAAATAATTGCTACCAAACGGGGATATAAAATGCTCTCTATTTTAAATAGATAATACTTAAAATTATACTCAAACAAACTCTTTAAATTAACATTTTAACCATTGTTTGGTAGAGATTAAACTCTATATTTTAATTTAAATCAAAATCAACAATTACTTTAATTACATATTTCATGTGATTCACAACTTTTCAACCATACATTTTTCTACTTTTATCGAAATTTACTAAATTTTGATTTTAATCTCCATCAGATAATTTAGAAAATGAATTTGGCTCTTTCCAAATTTGAAGAGTCAAATATAGGGTTTGACATGAGTTGGGATGGGTACATTTTTTTATCAAAACCAAACCATGTTCAACATGATCGATTTGATCTAAAAGCAAACAAATTCAACTCAATTATTGGTTTAAACCAAACACAATCCAAACCGATTAATCTTGGATAGGTTTGGGTTTGGGTCCATTCAAGTTCGATTTGGTTATTTTTTGTTGAAGTTGGAAAATTTTTTAATATAAAGAATTTTTTTTTTTAAATAATGTATAAATAAGTTTGAAATTATTGAGCATTTTTTTTTTTAACAATCTTTTTGGGAATCATTCATTTCATGATCCAATCCTTAATTTTTAGTTTATCGTTAAACAACTTTGCAATTATACATAGTATTAATATTGGCCGGCCTATGTACAAAAAAATGACAGTTTTACATTCTAAAATTTTCTCTTTATCTTCACTATTGCGTTCATTTAGATTTTTCATTTTGGGTATTAATTTTTTAACTCATTGGGTTGGGCTGGATGGGTTTTAATTCATAACCCATCCAACCCAACTTGACCTCAAATTTGACAATCCAACCAAATTGAATTTAAAAACTAACCTAAATCGGTCGAATTGGATAGTGTTGGTCGATTTGAGCAGTATGGGTTAGTATTTATCAAACTCTAGCCAAATTTATTCTCTATTATTAAATGCATTCAAAATATTTCAATTTTCAATTGAGGAAAATAATATGATAATTTGGAGGGGGTTAGTGAAAAATAAAAGATAGAAAAATAATAAATATTTCTTGAGAATAGTAAAATTAAGTGTTAAATATAAAGAGTCTTTTGAAATACTAAAAAAAAAAAAAATGTACTCTTTAAATTTATAGATGCTCTCTAAATTATAAAATATACTCTTTAAAAATAAAGAATCATGTGATCATTTAACATAATATTTGATGAAAATTGTTCATTAGGACTAGCTAGAGACCTATTTCAATAGGATGAGGATGAGTTTGCTCCCTTTCTTTTAGTTGAGGATCAACTTGCTAATATTTCAATGGAGTTCAATACAAATACTGAAACTTCATTTTAAAATAGAAATTTAAAAAAAAAATGTGTATTGAAAGCGTGCTCAAAACAACTTATACGCAATGATACAATTCGCCTATCTCTCTGTGCAGCCAAACAAACAACAAAGTAATCATGAAACTATCGGTAGACAATGACCTAATCAAATCAAAATATGTTCATCGCTATGTTACGAACACAATAAGCTCTATCTCCCAAAGCGAAACCGAGGACATATGGCCGAAGATCGTACTATTGAATAAAAGCAAGGGTGAGCCAAGAAGTTCAGAGTGGGAGTAGATCAGTTGAGCTACAAGCTTTGCGTGGTCTACGATCAGACAGCTCAATCCCTTGTTTCTTGCTTTCGAGCCCAAGCCTACGTTTGCTTGCTAAGCTTGAGCGCATTAATATCTCCTCAATACGAAAGTCACAGTTGAATGGTAGCTCAGCATTGTTACATTAGGCAAGTAAAAAATGCTAGTTTATATATAATCATGTACCGTTTGTTTTACATACTAGTGGCCTGAAATATGCCGATTGATTTTTGGTCATTGGATACCACAGCCACATTGGCAGGATGCCGGTTGTAGCAAAGATACATGACCATTTAGGTGCTAACATGCAATGAAACAAAAGAACCTTGCAGAGAAACTTGGTCCAAATGAGAGAAAAATCATTTTATTACCATGTATGGGCGGTGAATTGGCGAGTATACCAATAAAATTACACTGAAGAAACTACAGACTACACAGAGCTCCAAGTTGGAGCTTAAAAATACAATAAAGAAGCAAATTGAAGATTACAAGTCATCTACCAAATGGCATAGGCAGAGACATTTATTCCGGTTCGACAAACATTTAAGGACAAGCTAAGGGGTAAATTATGGGAGTCGTTGGATGAGCAAAGTGAACTCACTCTGTCCCAAAGCCTAAAGCAAGGTTGGATACTTGGCATCAAGAAAGTCTCTCAAGGTTTTTGCAGCTTTAAGACCCCCCATTACTTCTGCCAGCCTCTCAACTGGAAGGAGGGCAAGTTCGGCCAAGCTTTTACACTCTTCCATAATCGACCTGTAGTTCGAATCTGTCACACCTGGCAGCCGCCTTAGAAACTCCACAGCAGACGTGTTGAAATTTTCCGCTCTACATGGAAAAAGTTAGCCGAGTGTCAAAATTAACCTTCCAAACACACCTTCGCTGTTAATTCTCTAACAATACATAATAACCAGTTGGGTCTTGAAATTTATTAACCTCTTTATTTGGGTTTTGGCTATCAAAGGAATAACATATTCATACCAGGATTATGAGAGCAGGATATAGATTACCTAACATCATTTTCAACAATACCCTCTTCTGATGGGACACCAACTCTAATTGCCCTTGCCTCATCGGGTTCATCTTGGTTTGCTTTAAGAGTAGTGAAAATTTCTGCAGTAGCGTGCAAGCTCCGAGACCAGAGAATGCGCAGACGAGGAAAATGGAGAACCAGCAAGGATAGTTTGGATATTATGCTATTTGGTGAAACATCATCCCCAATATCGCTTGCGGACTGCATGGATATTAAGTGGCTCAATTGAGGAAAATATTAAAATGCACTTCCTAGCAATAAAAGTAAATTCAGGTATTACATCGTACCAGGAATGAAAAGCTTTTATCTTGTGAGAACTCGATAAGGAGAACTGGTATCCGATAATAGCGTGACATCATTTCTACTTGGTGGTATAGACGACCAGATGAAAAACTGCCAAAAAGATCTTGTATACTCTTCCGTTCTACACATATCAATGGGGAAAGTATGTAATCTCCAACTTCCAAGGTAACTGGTATGATGCGCATACCTTTCTGGTGCAGTACATTTGGAAGGCTGCTCATAAACTCCCTCATGTCCACTATGACCTGGACAAAGTACCAATATTACTAATCTTTATCTATTTGGATTACTATCTATTGCAAAAGCATTCAAATACCTGCATTTCTTTTTCTGCTTCCTTCTTTCCACCTGCTTTTCTGGTAATCAAATTTTGAGCAGTTGTGGATTGTGGTTCAAGGGAAGAATTTACTTCTGGCAAGTGTGCATCCTGATAGTTGTCCAAGCGATAACAATAAATCACAGAATCATAGAAATAAGTTAGGAATTCAGAAAGAATTTCACATTTGCATTAACCATGCAACAGAAACTTCAAACATTTCATATCAGTCAGAAATACAGAATTCTGCTCCAGTACCACAAAATAACTGGGCAGCTCAGTAGAATTCCATTTAGCCAAGCAGCATGAAATTCACTTTCCAAAATCCAGTGATGCGCCAAAATTTCAGAACTTATGTGAAACAGGAAAATTGTAGGAAACATCAATATTGCAATGAGCATCTGCCTATACACATCACTATACTTTCCCTAATAGGTACCATATCTATGATATTGAAATACTTAGTCCTATTATGACTTGTAGGGAAAAGCTAAAGATAACCTAGAATTCAAACAATTGCATGATAAAATAGAACTACACTCCAAATTTTTTAGAGTAATTCCATTTCTTTAGATAGACTGTCAGAGTAATTACAGTACACTAGCATTTGCTATTTAACCAAGAATCAACCATACTGAAAAATCAGTTTTATCTTCTTAGCAAGTCAGCTAGAAATTCATTCATTTATATCCTATGCAATACCGTCACTTTGTTAGACTTCTGTAAAGTCTTCCAACATGAAAGACACAGATAATATTTCCCCCGTTTGAACTCAAAGAACATGGAGAAAGACCACCTTTCACAATCACCACCGTAGGCAGTGATTGGTCAGTAAAGCTCGTCCCAAATTCACTTTGTAAGTTGTCTTAATCAACACACACACACACACACACACACACACATTGTTAGACTTCTGTAAAGTCTTCCAACATGAAAGACACAGATAATATTTCCCCCGTTTGAACTCAAAGAACATGGAGAAAGACCACCTTTCACAATCACCACCGTAGGCAGTGATTGGTCAGTAAAGCTCGTCCCAAATTCACTTTGTAAGTTGTCTTAATCAACACACACACACACACACAAAAAAAACTAGATTCTTATTCCAAGCAGGAACTTCTGACCATGTACATTGTCTTAACCAACTTCTTTTGAAAGTAACGACTGCAGTTTTCAACCCCGCAATTTATATGTTAAGGCATTTGAGTATCTCAAGTTTAGAGGTTGGGGCACACCAGTTCGTTTTGGTGGAAGGATTCCATTTGATAAAGGATAAAACACGAGGCTTTTCGAAATTACATGCAATTATATCAGCCTTAAAACCTTTTTGATTTGGAAGTATGGATAGTCATCACCACCTAGCTTGATTTTATGGTTTGTGATTGAAGGAAATGATTCCATGGGTCAAATGATCCCTTCTTCATCATTAAACATTGCAGCCATGTATTGTCACTTAGGACTACAGAATAGAAGGCAATATTAAGTTTCATATTTAAAGAAATTACACTTTTTTATCACTTAACAACGAGTGAATTCGTCAAAGACAATAAAATAGCAGTTAAATGATGTTCAATCACAGATATTCGGTCCATGAGATCAACTTTAGAAGGAATACTTCAGCAGAAGTGTTCTTCTAGAAACTTAGTCGATAGATTAACCAACTCAGAGGGTGCACACAAAGCATAAAAAAGCACTACAGTGGGAGGTCAATTATCTAACTTTGCTTATAAATAATGTAAAGACATCTTTCTTATAGTGTAAAAAGCAGCAAAGGCAAGTGGTAAGCTAAAAGAACAAGTCCAAAGTATGTCATCTAAAGATTCTAAACAACGAACAGTACAGGATAGAGTTGCTTTTTCAACCTATGTATAAATTTCCCTTCCTCAATATCATTTCAGGGACAAAGACTGAGGAATAAATAAAGCAATATAAATAAAAAAAATAGAACGAGTAGAATGGTTAGAAGAATCAGTATTTCTATCAATTGCTAACTCAACAGAATGATAATGGTTTTTATAAGGAAAAATTGCAGCAGCGGTTCTAACCTTTTCAATTTTTGTAGATTTTACTCCTACCTTGATTTTGTGCCAGCCAAGGTCTATAACCTTTCATAAATAAACAGTTGGAGTCAAACATCCATTTGACTATTAGTTGACAAAAAAAGTCAAAATTTGATTATTTTTTACCAAACTAAGAAGGGGTAAAATAGTAAGTTTAACATTATCACATTAAATAAATAAATAAATAATCAAAGGAAAAAATGGTTTTTTCTTCACCCCCAACCTATCCCCCATAGCTGAAAATCAGCCACCAACACCGGCCAGCACTACCTAAGATTATTTTCTTCTCCAAAACCCACATATGCCCACCCTCATATGCCAACCAAAATCAAACCACTGCCACCAAATCCACAACCACCTCCACCTCCGTTGCCACCTTCTCCATTGCCAAATGGAACCCAAATAAAAATAAAATCAATGAATCTGCAAAAATCAGCCTCCCCACAGCTGGCACCACTGCCTAAACCGTAAGATCCACACATAACTGAGGAGCCCTCATTCCCCTCTACACATCCCATCCAACCACCTCCCCTAACTCTACCAGATGTCGTCAGAATAACAACCAAAATCCCCCAAATTGCAAACTCAAAAATTGCTGACAACTCATCCTCCATTCACACCCACCGTTGCGTATCATCACAGGTCAACTCCCACGATCTAGGTGTTCAATCTAATGATGGCATTTCAACAAAAAAAGGGAACAAAAAATCGATACAGCTTCTAGGATTTCAAATTCTGATCTTTGGGTGAGGGTGGGATTTGATTTCTGGCTTCTTACTGACAGTGGTGGGTGAGTGGCAAGTGTTGGTGATTTTTCTTGGTTTGATTTTCAAGTGTGAGGGTGACTTTTCTAGGTTGGATTTTCGAATGTGCAGTAGGCTGGAAGGTGGCAATGGAGGGTGTCGACACTGGTAGTGTGTGGTGGCGAGTGGGAGTTGTGGTGGCGGTGTAGGTCAAAGGTGGCAGTGACAACGGTGGCGGTGGTGACGGTTTCCGGTAGGTCTCGTCGGAGAAGAAGAGACCTCATCAAATTTTGATTTGGGGAGTGGAGTGGGATGGGGTTGGGTGGGGTGGAGTGGAGTGGGGTTATATATTTAGTTTTATTTTTGGTGTTCTTTAATTTAATTTTTTAACTTATTTAATATGAAGAAAATGTAAAGTACCCTTTTGTCCTTTTTAATTTAGTCAAAATTAATCAAATTTTGACTTTCTTGGTCAACTAATGGTCAAATGGATGCATTTGAACTCCAGCTGCATATTTATGAAAGTTTAGGGGGCCTTCGTCGGCACAAAATTAAATTTAGGGCAAATTCTGCAAAAATTGAAAAGGTTAGGGACCGTTGCTGCAATTTTTCCTTTTTATAATATTAAAGTTATCGTCAAATCAACTTGAACTGATTCAAGAATTATTTTCATTACTTAAAAATGCACATAATCTTGTTCTCCTGGGAATTATTTTAATAACTAGGTATTGTATTCTTCAAAATCGCAACTTTAAATTCAAAATGTATCGTTAGCCACAATATCAAGGTATAAATTCATTCTTGGGCATATAACAGAAGCACCAAATAGATCAATTGGAAAAGGAATAAACTTAACAATATAGATATTGAAGTTACAAAGTTTCTCTCTTGAGATTTAACGCAAATTTGATTTTTGGGAGAAGTGAACTATCAGGACCCTTAGTGCTAACATTTCTACAATTTTGGAAGCTAAATCAAGAGGATAATGATGGGCTTTGAAAGATCTATAGTAGTTATTGGATAAAAATAGACTTCAATAGTCAAGGTGAACAAGAAAAAACATTGTGCTGTTCTTGTTAGAGTGCAGAAGCCCAACACAGAATTTTCAGTTTCTTTTTAATTTTGAATCGTTTGAAGTGATGGGGTTAGGCGTTAGGAACTCAAATAAATAACTCTCAACAAATTAGAGAACAAATAAGAATGTGAAAAATAAAACTACGAATCACACTTAAAATTCATTGGTATTTTTATGGTTTACTTGCAAAATAATCAGAATTAAGCTTCAAACCTCAAAGTGGCGTAGCATTTGAGGCCCCAACCCATATTCGACAATTGTGCCAATGTTTAAATTTCAGATTTTCCCAAACCACGAGGATGGTAAATTACAGCGAAACCAGATTTGAAGTTTTCACACATTAAACAAAAATTTAAGGCTTTAAGAGCTTCTAAAAAGTGGTAGAATCAACAGAAGCAGGTCTACATCATCATTCATGACAAAACCCAAAATCGCAATCAAGGCCTAGAAAAATGCACAGAAACAGCTGAGAGTTTTAGAAACCTTTTGGGTGCCCTTCGTGATGCAATCCTCAAGCTGCATGCATGAGCGTTCATCTTTGCAAGCTACTAGAACCATTCCATTGTATTCTGTCTCCCCTTCATGTATTAGTTCTTCCCTTGAAGACACTTGCTTCTCTCTTTCCTCTTGTATCTCTTCAAGAATCTCCTGAAAAAATGGTCCCCACACATAATTCTCTTCATTAAAAATATCCAATATCATTGGCATTTAGCAATAGCTAAAATCATTTGGCGTACAAAATATCCTTACAATCAATTAAACCATGTATAATAACCAAAAAGAAAAAATGGAACTCACTCACTCACACGCAACACCTTCCACTTTGGAGGCTCCTCCAAGACTTCCTCCAAAACTAACCCACTATTTGCCCTTGCAGAGGAATCTACATATCCACATGAAATAATAGAAACTTAAGATGATAGTTCTCATGAAAAAAAAATATACCAAATGCTTAATGTACCTTCTTTCCCTGCTATGCTTTTTCATACATAAAACTAATAAACTGCACAGTTTTAACAAGTTGAGTTTCATTTCATGGGAAAAGGACAGGCAGGATAAACCTCTAAATGCATTTCCAACAAAATCAATCGGGAAACATAAGACATCCAGTGAAATACAAGAGAAGTTACCAGTATAAAAGGAAAAAGGGAACTTACCATCCTCGCTCTTGTTTTTTTCTAGTTTTCTCTTCTTGGTGGATAGTGTCTTACTTGGGACTAAGGATTTTCCACCATCTGACCTACCAAAATGATAAACCCTTTTCTTTGCGTACTCGAAAATCTTGTAACTAGACTCAGAGAAGATCCAAACAGATCGAAAACTCTCTGAGGCTCTCAGCGAGTCCAGATACTTCAAGTAAGTCACCGCATCATACCTATCAATGCAGATCCATGTAAAAGTCCACATTCCAAACTAAAATATAGATAAAAGGAACTAAATGATCAAATAAATCATCAATACCAAGGAAGATGCAGCAGTGACCAATGTACAAGGGCAATACACAATCTCTTACACTTAGTTATCTACATCAATGATAGCATAATAAAACAATTTCATTCTTAAAAGACGATAAATTTCTCAAATGAATCAATAATATCGCTAGCTTTGCGTTATATTATCTATCAAGTCTAAGTAAAACGCCAAATTGCTCAGAGCAAATCGTTTCATGTCCATTAGACAACTTTACACTGCTAAATCCAAACAATAACAACATGTTCATAAACAAAGAATTGAGTTTTAATGGAATCTTTTAAAGTGAATGGATTTGGGCAGGTTAAATGTCAGTTATTCAACACATTTAACGATTTTATGATGAATTGATCAGCATATCTGTAAGTTCAAATTTTACTCAACATAGCAAGTGCTTTAGTAAGAAAGGTTAGATTTTATCTTTCTTCTCATGTAGATAAAGCCACGTCATTTTCAAACTCTTGTTCAGTTCAACAATTTTAGTTACTCATCAAGCAGAACAAGGTTTACATCACATCATTGCCGATGACCTCCAGCAGCCTAATGGTATCACCAAATCTCCACATCTTCTAAGATCATTACTCTCATTCTTCTTAAGAAGTGCCACTCAGAAACACTGAAAGAAGTGAATTTCAATTTACAGCGGCATTTTTCAATTGAAGCGAAAAAAGAAACCCCCCCCCTTTCTTTCTCTCTCCATATCGGAATCTGAGGTATAAACTTGCAAAATTTGAACTGTTAGTGGAAATCATTTTTAATCCGGTAGCAAATTAGTATTTCGATCATTTTGGAATCACATTGTTAGCAATTGTAATGAAACCAAACCCTAAAGACCAATGAAATTCATATCTTTAACCAGACCCGTAGAATTGAAAGGCAGAAATTCATGCCAATTGTACAACTTTAACAAAGCCTTATCTTGTATCACTTAGTATTTTAATTCTTCTTATCTTCCTATTGCCAATGAAATGTTAGAAAGTTAAAGTCAAAGATACATTACCTGGCGAGGTAATCCAACAACTTCCTCAGTGTCTTCAAATCGGAAACAAGCTGTTTTGTCTTCTTCCCCAATGTATGCCAAATAGGATCCAACTGCCTCCTTACTATCTCATCGAACGACTTGAACAATCCATTCTCAACAGTCAAATCCTCGACATCAACCTTGTTCGTCTTCCTCATTTCCTTTAAACAAGCATCCATTACCTCAATCACCGCTTTCTGAATCCCAATCATGTAGGGTGACATTGGCACCCGAATATCAACCACCTCCGGCGGGTCCCTCTCCAAATCCTGTGAAACATGTACCTAAAATAACAAAAAAATAGGGATCAACAAAACGAAAATTTGCCGCAATGCTTCGTGTGATGGCATAACAGGTAGAGGTTTTATGCTACCCAATTTCCAGTGGGACGACATAGCAGGTAAAGGTTTCATGTTGAAAGATCGTACTTTGTACTGGGAAAAAAAAACAAGAATTGTATACTCAAAACTTCATTCAAAATCATAATACCTGAAACCTAGGCCAAAGGTGGAGTTTCCTGAGGAAAAGGCACTTGAGTGTCCTTTCAGCTTTAGCAAAGCCCGAGACCATTGCGTGGGGCCGGTCGGAAAAGGCTCGAACGTAGAGAGACCGATTAGAAGACCTCAAAATCCTCACGATGAATGCCTCAGTAGAAGTATCAGAAAGTGAATGCGCATTAAGAAGAATAATTCCGGCAACAGCAGTAGTCGGTAGGCGGTGGGTGAGTAAGTCGACAATTAATATCCGGGCGGTGATAAAGAAGATTCCACCAGAGCCGTAGAGGGAGAGGCGCTGCGGAGCCGGAAGATCGAAGGTGATTTCAGAGGTCGAAATCGGCGTTTCGAGATTCAGGGTGTCTTGGTAATTGCGGAGAATAGAGGATTTTTGGGAAGGAGAAGCGGAGAGGATGAGAAGGGAGCCTTGAGAGGGATCGTGAAGGTGGAGAAGATAGGATATTAGTTTAAAGAGGCCGAGGCCGCCGGAGAGGATTACAAGACCGCCGCTAGAGTCCTCCAGGAGGTCTCCGATTATCTGTTCGTAGAATTTTAACATTGGTGGCGGTGGGGTGGAAGCGGCGGCTGCGGTTGTGGTCTGGTTTGGGGTTTGGTTTGTTCAGTTGATGAGCATTGTGGTGGGCGGGAATGCGGTGTGGGTTTGACCCGTCCGCTTCAACGTCGCTGGCCCTTTCATTAATAGATCACTTTTTTTTTTCCCTTTTTTTCCCATTTCTTTCTTTTTTATGTTTTTATTCATTATAAGCACGTCTGAAAATTGATTATAAAATGTTTAATTATAAACTGGTAAAAATTAGTAATAAATAAAGATTTTATAGGTTTCCAACCATTCACATGTATTTATTAAGCAAACTTTTCAAATTAGGCCACGATCGATATGCCTCCATTTTTCATGAAAAATGAAAATTAAATTCAATTTCTCACTTTTTGACATGTTCAATAGTAGAAATTTTTCATGGAAAACATTTTCCATAAACCCATGCCACATAAGCATTTTCTTGCTTTTTGATGAAAAAGCAATTCCCACCAAAATCGTGGGAATTGCAATTCCAGCTTTTTCCCTTTTTTCTGTTTCTTTTTTATTATTTGCAATTGAAACAAATTTTAGGAATAATTGTAAAATATGATATTCCTTACATTAACAATTTTCATGTAAAACAAATCAAACGAACACCAAAAGATAGATAATTTTCATGATTTTTTTTATTTTTTTGTTGGCAATGGAAACAAATTTCATTCCCAATATCAATAAAATATATCCCTTTAATTGACAATTTTCATATAAAACAAAGTCAAACGAACATCAAAAAACACTTTTATTTTAATATTTTTCACATGAAAAATTATACCAATCAAACACAATAATTTACAATTCCCAGAAAAACAATTTCTAGGCAATTCAATTCCCTATAACTCGTTTTCAATTCAATTCCATTTTTACAATCAAACGGACCCTACTTTTTATCTAATTATACTTGTTTATACTAATTTAATTCTACTAAAAATAAGAACAATGCTATAAGTAAAACAATTTTGACATTATGATTTACAGTCTCTCACATACAAAAGGTGGGACCACGACTAAAATAATCGCAGTCCCACAAATATGAGTGTTGTACATGTACAACACTGTACGCACAACAATTTCCTAAAAATAATTCCCGTATTCTCCATGATATCTTTCTGTATCATTGATCATAACATCCATCTCCCACCCTATTGTGTTTTATTCGACTTTCCATCTCTCATATTCTTCGTCTATTCCCATTTCCTTACTACGTAGCCCTCGTTTGACCCCATTTTGTAGAATTGAAAATGGGTGGAATAGTATTTTTTTGAAAAATGAGCGATTGAAAAAGAAGGGAAAATTTTCGATTTACGTGTAATATTATTTTAAGGAAAATTGTGTGATTCAAAATAAGAAAGAGAAAAATGTAATATAATGTAATAGAAATTAATGGGGAGCAAACGTGACATAATTCCTCTCTATATCCCTCTTCGAGAATAAGGTCCTGTTTGGTACCCTTTTTTTTTAAATGCATTTCTCTCTATCTTCTTTTCAATCATATTCTTTATTAAAATAATAATACACGTAAATTAAAAAAAATTATTTTTCAATCACACATTTCCTATCAATTTACTATTTTATAATGCATTTTTATATAAAAATGAATCTCAAACACCATCTAACTCAAGAAACCCTTTAAACTACTTCTTACATGGAAAAGTAGAGCAACAAGAGGATTGGAGCGTAACATGGAAGATGAAGAATAGGAAATGACAAAAGATATATTAAAAATGTGAGAGCATTTCAAAATATTATAATTTTCATTCCCATAGATTTAAGAATATAAATGAAAAATATAATCTATGGGACCACACAAAAAATAGAAAGTCGATTATGATGGTTGATGTGATTAATAATAGTCATATTTTTCATTTTTGTGGCCAAAGAATGAAAATTAAACGGGCTAAAAATCACATCATGTCAAAATAATTTTTTTGATGATTCTATCCTTACTATAATTCAATTATTTTAATAATACTTTACTTTTTCTTTAATAATATATATTTAATTATTTCAATAAAATCTATTTTTCGTTTTCAATATGTATTTAATTTATTAATCATTTAAACCATTTGAACAATATTATTATTAATTATTTTGTCAACTATATAGTTATGATGAATGTACATTTGACACATGCATTACCTTACTTTTCTTTTTCAATATGTATTTAATTTATTTAATCATATTTGATAGATTCATTATCTTTTTCATTTTTCAATATATATTTGATTTATTTAATCATTTGGACAATATTATCTCGAATTATTTTGTCAAATACTTAGTTATGATCAATATACATTTGACAGATTCATTCCACTTGATTGAATAGTAAATTAAATTCATTAAAAAATTTTGAAACAAAAGATGAATATTTTTTGCTTAAGCACAAGATCCGATAGTTGTGATTTAAATTTTTCTTCCAATTGATTTTATTTAATGAATGTTAACATAAAAGGTAGGATAATTGGCACAAAACATTCATTCCTTCAAGTTCATTGTGGAAAACGTCCTCACCTTTCATTTTTTGGCACTTTTGCCCTCATTTTAATATTTCTTTGCGCTGGACATCATTTTCACATATTTTTAACTTAAAACGACCAAAATATCCTCCTATTTATAAAAACAAAAAAAGAAAAGAAAATTGCACCTAAAGATCCAAAATTTTAAAAACTACAAATGAGTCCAAATTTCAAAAGAAAACTGTCACCTTCTTCCGCAATAGCTCCCCCACTCTACCACCAGCCTCAACCTCAACAACCAACGCTCCACCCCACTGCCAGCACCTACACCGTTAATTAGCACCCAAACCCAACCCCTGCAGCATCGCCCCATTTGATCCCCCATTGATAGCACCACTATAAACACCTAAACCCAACCCCAGAAGAATCAATGTTAAAACATTAGAGAAATTTCGGACTGTGATTTCAATATGCTCCGTCCTACACGCAAATGCAGACCCCTACAAGCTTCTACATTACTAAAGTCACTCAACAATAAAGGAAAAAGTCCACAATGAGTAACCCCATTAAGCAATTATTTACTTTATTTCTTGAAAAAATTAAAGTGATCTAATGGAACTCCTTAAATAGAAATCGATGAAAATAGATTAATTGAAATAGGGTTTATGGAGAAAAAGAAGAATGAAAGAAAATGAAGTAATTGGTATCTTTTTTTTCTTCTTAACACACTACATCATACATACATAAAGAACGGGAATTGAATTTTTTCTTCTGCTAATCCTTAATTAATTCATTCATGGAACCTGCTAATGTATAGAGTATTGAATAATTAAGGTAATTACGATTTGATTAAAGGAAAACCGTAGTAAAATGGTTTATTGCTTTGGATGCTGGCTAAGGCTAAGCTTTGTAGTTGGTTGCAGCGGAGGGGGAGAAAGGGGTAGCGGCCAGCAAATTTTCGCATTTCTGACATCAGTTGACGGCTAAAATCTAGCGGCAAGAGGGGCAGGAGGAGTGGGAACCTAGCCAAGTGATTTGATATTGAATCAATGTTGAAATATCAGAGAAAATTGGCTCCTATGTTTTTAGTGGTACTGGTAGTGGAGGGTCAAGTGGGGCATTTGTAGTTTTTAAAAATTTAGGCATATAGGTGCAATTTTCTTTTCTTTTCTTTTCTTTTTTTGTTTTGTATAAATAGGAGAGTATTTTTATCATTTTAAGTTAAAAATATGTGAAAAAGATGTCCAGCGTAAAGAAAGATTGAAACGAGGACAAAAATGTCAAAAAATAAAAGGTATGAACGTTTTCCAAAATAAACTTAAAAGGTAGGAACATTTAGTGCCAATTACCCTAAAAGGTAAATGGGGATAAACATAATGCATATCTATAATAAATAATTTCAATTGATATATTCAATGCATATGAAGTGAATATGTATAAATGATAGAATTCGTTGGATGTTGAATTCAAATCTAAATAGAAGGATTATTCTAATTGACTTCCTCAACTATTTAAATTGATTTCACAAATTGATTTTTATTTCATTTGAATCAAAATTTCATCCTACATAAACAATTTGTATTAATTATTTTTTTATATTTCCACACCTTTAAATATTATTTTCATAGTATCTATAAAACATTTTAGAATAATGTGCAACTCATGTTCAACTATGACTAGAACTCTCCCCCCCCCTCCCCCCCCCCCCCCCTTTTTATTTTCACCATCACATTCTTTCAAAAATGATTTTTTTTTCCTCGTACTTTTTAACAACACATCCTCCAAAAAAAATAACTTTTCAAAAGACCATTTTCCCAAAAGAACTCAATTGAGCTTTCTGATATCATCTAATCCTCCAACAGGGAGTATAATCGCTAGGAATGTACACTAAAAATGGGCAAATGTAATTGAAAACCCAGTCACGAAATAGTTTACAAATGTAGAGTACGTGTACCCATCACTAGGCTTCTTGTGAAAATCACATAACTAAAACTAAGCCGTCTCTTAATTTAAGTAGCAATCTCATCAACCTCGGAATTAAATACAAAACTCGGAAACGTTGTTGTTATATCCCTGCATATAAGCCACAATATGCGTAAAATCATTAATCACATGTAACAGCCCCAAAGTGATGCGTGTAATTGGACATGACCAACAAATATTACACTACCTCAAATATGGAAGTGTCATTATCTTCAACAGTGAAGGATTTCGGGACACAAAATTGCGCCATTCAGATTTATCTATTTTTCCGTCCTGGTCAGTGTCCGCTTCCAAAAATGTCTGTTCGATGAAGTAACACAAAAAACAAGAAAATCTGAATTTCACTACAGAGTTGAGGAACAGATCCCAGTTTACAAGACTCCAGTTTGTTGAAAGCTACAATCTAGAAGTGAATTGTACAACAAAGGAAATACAAATTACTCCCCAATGAAACTACACCCCTTTAATAGAGAAGGATCAGATTCTTAAAAAACAGTCTCCAAGGGTTTGCATGCCTCGGGAAAGAACAGAAAAAGGTTCCATGAAAGAAAAGATAGATATACACTACCCAAATAACATGCAAACATAAGCTGGCATCAAAATCCAACTCTTGAAAAGCCGGAAAGGTTCAGATATCAAATAAATGGATGCATCTTTCTTTTTCTTTCATTCTCTTTTGCTTTTACATTACCCTGACGAATTTTATGAAAGAGGAAACAAACAGAACCCAAAATGCTACAAACTAGTACGTGCCACATATATAGAAAGTAAATTCCAGATGCACAACGAAATATACATTAATCTCACCAAAGAACTACTTAAACAACTAATGCCCCATGATGAAAAGGTATCAAGTCCTCAACAACCAATCTCCACTGTTCTGCATACACAACGATCCACAAAAGATCTCTCTCTCTCTCCTCTTCCCTCCAAGCATATATGCTTGTCTCTATCTATCTCGTGTGTATGAAGTATGTACACCCACACAAACATGCATACATCTAAGATTATAGCCATTATTTTTTTCTAAAAATTAATGAATATTGAGATTGATATTTGCCACACTTTTTTGCCGCCTTTCTTTAAATTAACACGATCAATATGAAACTGATTGATTTGAATTATAATTTGGAGTTTGGCAAAACTGAGGTCACGTAGTTTAAGAACCCGTTTGGGATGCCTTTTGCTTTTACTTTTGCTTCAAGTAAAAGAACTTTTGGAGGAAGTTACCATAATTTTATTTAAGAACTAATTTTTAAAAGAGCTTCAATTTCGAAAGTGTTTTTACAGGAAGCCAAATTAAAACGACTTTCTCTAAAAGCTATTCTAACTAGAAAAAACGTAGTCGTAGAACCAAGGTCTGACCTAAATTGAGCAAGGGCAGCCACTTCTAAATATTGTACCAATTCCAGTTTTGAACTATCATAGAAACCAAACAAGTCCAAAAGTAGCTTTTACGTCTCAAAAACTCCTTTTAACTTTTCAAAAGTCATGTCAAACGGGCATAAGTCTCAAAACCTCGAGCTTATTGTATTAAGTTTGATCAAAATCAAAATAAGCTCGAGCCGAAAAATTTTGTGAAGCATTTTGCTCAACTCAGCTCAGAGAGAATGCACTGCTAATCCAAGAAATTAAGTCATGTACATCACTTACAAAGAAGATACAGAAGCATGCCAGAGAAGTCATGAAAGCAACACGTATGCATTAGCACTCACCTTGTCAAGAATGATCTCAATGGTTTCATCAGCCAACTTCATTTCAGACTCGCATAAAAGTGCAATCAACATTTGCTTAACCTGCAAAAATCACAAACTGTGAAGAATTGTGCATATTGGTTTCAATGGAAAAGCAAACAATAGTATTAAAAACACGCACTTCACCAAATTTTCTTTAATTAATCATCATAACATTCCAACGAAAGCAAATTAAAAGAAAAATCAAATTAACAAATACAAGTAGTCAATTATCTACAAAATAATTCTCCAATTCCCCAAAGGAGATTTACAAACAATGAGATCCACTAATAAGACAAAAATGAAAATTCCACAAATAACAACTATAGGCAGGAACAGAGATGGGGCAATATAAATAAATAGTAAGAGAGAGAAAAGAAAAGCATATAAAACATGCTCTAGGAGGAAAAGAAGGCAATCCTTGTGTGACAAGTGACAACATTTTGATGCCCCATATAAGAACAGGAGACCATAAAGTCAAACATCTTATGCTGATACAAAGAGAAGTAGAAAAAATAAAAAGTTAGCTTATGATGACATCACAGGAGTAAACCCCACCATTTGACCACATTACTTTGGAATATATGTAACTGAATGTTTAATGACTATTCTCGAAAATTGTGAGCTTGACAAAATAATGTTTTGAGCAAATCTTATTACTGCTACATTGGAAAAATAAAATAATACAACGATATGCAACTTTAGAAAGAGAGTGTCAAAAATAGGCCATAATATTTTCTAATAACAATGAAATCGCAAGTAGCCATATATATATGTGTGTGTGTGTGTGTGTGTTCTGTCCGTGATTTTGTCACATCTCTCAATTCTCATCTGCTTATTTCCATAACATTTCGACTGGATATTTCTTTCCATTTAGAAATAAGGTCTCTCTTAGTAAATCTTACACAAAAAAGTTGTGCAGGTCTAGTTGTCTAAGTTATATTTAGTTCATAATTTTAACATCAAACTTTATCAAAATATTAAAATCTTAGTCAACTAAAACTAATCAAATCTTTTATAGATTAAACTCTATTTACATAAATATGCGGGGGATACAAGTGTTGAGTCTTGCAACTAAAATAATGGATAAATTTCCAACAATTAGAAGAATACACGAGAATCAAGCTAAAGTCAAAGTCAAGAAAAGAATCAGAGCCACATTCTAGTGAACCATCCCTACCACATTTTAATTTTGGAACATAAATATATTATCCTAAATATAGAAAATTGTAATATCCTTATAATTATTTTAACAAAACCTGGAAAAAAAAAATTCCCCTACAAATGGTAAAAATAAACTACCTCTTGCCGTTCAATATATCCTGTGCCATCCATATCATACAGCTTAAATGAAACTGCAGCAGCACAAAAAAAAAATAATAATAATAAATAAACAAATAAAATAAATTCTTTAATGTAACATTCAGCCATAATTTTGGATCAATAAACAAAAAATACAAGTGTCAAAATAATGTTGGAACATATCTCTATAACTCACAATTGATTTTATCTTCTTGTGGTGCATTTGGGTGGAAAACATTCAGTGATCTAACAAAGTCACCAAAATCAATGACTCCTTTTTGCTTCACATCAAAGAGATCAAAAATCTACAAGAAGAAAAGAATTAAAATGTTACACAAGAAAATTCATAGCTTGAACAGAAAAAGAAAAAAAGGGAAAACAAGACAATAATTTTCTGCATTGGCGTTTGCATGAGCACATTTTAACATAGCTACAAGTATTAGTGCAGCTATTTGCTTATATATAACTAGGTGTATGCCTATATACGACTCCATCCATGTAAAACTTTATAAAACAGAAATCTTAAAAAGCCTGGTCTTTGATCTGATGAGTTTTAGTCAAATTAAGCAAGGCTCTGATTTGTACAGGTGTGAAAACGAATAAGACAGTAAGAACGTTGTACATCCAGCAATTACACAAAAACATTAAGCAAATTATGAAACTTAGACCACTATATCCTAATTTTCTAAAAGCTTGTGAAAATACATCACTAATACTTGTTGATAATCCCACTTAGAATATTAATTTTTATCGATGTAAGACAAAAAAGTAGGGTTGCGTTGAAAACTTCTGGGTCAAATGGCTTTGAAAATCTAACCAGGATCAAGAAAGATTTGTAATACCAAACTTCCTAACTTGCTAGAATAATCTAAACAAGGCAACATTCACAGACTGGGTGACTTCCCCAGCATGACCTAAAAATTGAACCAACTAATTTGATCAATTTATGAAGATCAACCAAATTGAATGGCTGTGTTGTGTTTTAGAGCATCTCTAAGGGACTCTATTTTTAATGAGCATATTCTATCATTTGGAGAGCAAATATAAATTTGGAGAATTAAAATTTTAAAGTTCTCTAACAAGCTCTTTAATTTAACACTTAATTTCACTATTCCAAAAAAATATTTATTATTTTTCTCTATCTTTTATTTTAACTGCTTTTCTTCAGATTATATTATTATTTTCCTACATTGAAAATTGAAAAACTTTAAATGCATTTAATTACGAAGAGTGAATTAAATTAAAATGCTAATTTAAAGAGTCTATTGGAGTATGATTTTAAAAATTAACTCTTTCAAATAGAGAGCATCTTTAAAAAATCTCTTGAAGATGCTCTTATGCAGTTCCAATTATGTCCATTCGTATGGGAGTACAAAATGGCATAAGGGTTCATTTTATTTAACTTAGATTGTATGAAAAGTACATTGGGATTATTTTGTAAAGGTAGTTTGCAAAAGAGCAATAAGAGGAAGAGTTTAATTTATGAAGGTTGAACTAATCTGGGATATTCCAGAAATGTAACAAGCATTGACAGGAATAATTATAATTGTGCACATAGCATCAAGTGTAGCAGCACATTTCACATTTCAAATATCCACTCATCAGATTACTATGTAGTCCCGTCAAGTAGACAATAAGAAACAAATAGTTGCAAACTTTTGTAATATAATTCCTTAATAACTCTTCCAACATACTATCCAGCTTTAAGTGTGCATCAATGGTTTTGTTTCATAATCAAAGCAATAAAGCTTATACTTAAAACAGAATTAAAATATTGTAATCTCGTTCAGAACATTGAGCATGATTTGCTACTCCCAGACAGAGGAAAAAATTTCATACCCGGTTTGCAAAAAGATTCTCTTTCTTCCTGTTCTTGAAAAGAGCCAACTGAAATTCTTCCTGCATATAAAGCATTGTTCCAAATGCATCATAATCAAATTCTAGTACTATTCTAAAATAGAACGGTGTACGTGATTTATCTAATCATTCTCAAATCATGTGATATCTGTGCTATATATTGGGAAGATTAAATTCATTATAAGCTCCAACATTCGAATTGCAGTGCAAGGATCAATGTGTTTGTGTAACATTCATCAAAGTTCCACTTATTTCCTAAAATTCAAATATTTTATCAACTCCAACTTATAACATGACATAAAGCAAATAGAAAAGTGACTAGCATAGTAGCAATGTTGATCATAATGCCAAAACTTTTCCTTGGAACATATTTTTCTTTATGTTAGAATTTGATACTAGTGCAGTAGTGCTTTATTGGCAGCATCATGATTTCAGATAATACTATTTTCAACTTGAAACTCCTTTGGAAGTCTAAAAGATAGAGACATTAAGATACAGGTAAGTAAGCACAAGCCAAAACATATCCCAGCAATAGGCTGCAGCCTACAGGAGAGTTACTCAATTAAGATTAATAATGTGGGTCTTAAAAGGCACAAGACCCTTTATAAATGTGTCAATTATGTATTCCTTGACCGCAGAAAATCAGAATCGATAAGTAAGAGTTAAGAGACATGCTGAACTAGAAGATGTGTGGAATCATGATACATTTAAGGTATGAATGAAAATCTTGCATATGTTCTAAAGTAAATCACCTTATTTATTAGCCCATCGTCAATTACGGAGCTGCTAATGCTCTTAAACAGCTCAAATAATGCTTCAACTTCGCTAACACTGACTGCCAAAAAAAGTTCATGAATACAAGAATTGACTTATAAAGAAACCATAAGGAAAGCATCGAAATATAACATCACAGCAACCATCTTATGATGAAAAGGGAATGAGTGCCGACTCAAGAGTTAAGTGAAATATTTTATTGTCAGATGTAAATAAAATAATTGTACAGGATGTTAATATAAACCTCAACGAGATATTAAGGCTTAACTTATAAATTATCTTTACTAATTTTGATCAGATTCGTGCACAAACAGGAATGTCAACATCCAACATGGAAGTATACAAAAGTACAACTCAAATACTCAACTCCATAATGGACCATGCAGTACTTCCAATAACCAGAGAGTTAAAAACAATTAAAAAGAACATTCAGATCAAATACTTTATTTAATTTTGAGGAGAAAAATACAGTCTAGTGATTTCTATCCATGAGTCAATTGGTCACACTTATGAACCAACTCCCTAATGTGTTGATATCATACTAATTCACTCTCCAGAATTGGATCAAGCAAAGACGAAGATTCACAAATAAAAAGATCCAAAATGCACTGTGCTTCTATAAGAGTAAATGTCAAGTGGCTTCCAGCATCTTAAAATAACCAACTCAACACCTTCATGCTCATGCATTACGCCTTATTCAACAAGTTTTATTCACTTGAACGACTTTTCTTAAATCCTTAACACAAGACTTACATAGTTGTACAACCTTTATTTCCTCATCAAATATTACTTGACAATGCCAATCTCGCATAAAAATGCAGTTATTTCATTGAAATCTGAACAAACAAGTCTTTCCTGCTTTCATATGGAAAAGGGTCAGAAATTACACATATGAGATATCAGTCAACAAATATTTTTCCATCAAAATAAATAAGAAACTTACACGCTGTCTGGGAAGCAAGTAAAACTGGATCTTCGTGCCCGGGAGACTGTCTTGTTGCTGTAGACTGTATACAGCCCATTTATCAAAGGAAGATGCTCCCCAGCCAACTAGTGCCTAGAACCTACATTTCACAATGATACATCATCAAGACTATCATAACCAGGGATGGATTTAGTGTGGGGACATTGGGGTGAGCTGCCTCCACACTAGATTTCAAATTTCAAATTTTGCTCAAGATTTTTTCAAGGGGGAAAAAGAAAAGAAAAATCCTTTTAGTTTCAATTTTTGGCCCCCACCAATTAAATTTTGTGAAAATTGACCCACAATTCTTTTATCCTAGCTGTGTCAAATGACACCCAAATCCAGAAATTAAACCTTCCATTAGTATACCAACTACAAACAAAAGTGTTATTTCATACAAAATGTCTCCCTACTTCATTTTTTATCTAGGACATGATCTAATTGAATGTTGAAAAGTAGATCGAAATAGACTTTGAAATTGGTAAATGTCTCCCTTGATTATAAGAAAAGGTTTAATAAGAATTTTCCACACTAGAATCCAACATAAAATGAAGTCTTAGTTCCCAAGAACTTAAGAAACACATGATTCCAAATGAAATCATATTATTAACTATATTTATAAAATCTGTGATCAGAAAACAAGGAAGCAGCTTTTGATTTTTCAATTTATAAATTCAAAAAATGGCCCAAAAAAAAAAAGAACAATTGAACAGAAAATAGATTGATATGCATATGCATGTATTGAAAACTAACTGATTGAATATATAAGAAAGATAGAATGTAGAAAAATTGCAAAAGAAGAGAGAAAAAAATTACTTTGTCCAGGAGAAAACCTTGTTATAAGCCATCAAAATTTAGAATTTTGAAAACCCAAATAATCGTCTAGACTAACAAGAAATATAATAAAAAGAAATAGTTTCAAAATCTTCAACTTTCATTCTACAACGAATGCAGGACAAAGCATGGTCATCAGTTCTTCCAGATAAACAAATCCCACAAACTAAAAATAACTTACCAACAAAAAGAAACACCACAATACTGAAATCCGGCTTTATATAGAGAAGCAAAGGTTTCTAGGTTTCTTCACAACAAATGAATTTATATATACTCAGATTCGATCTGCAGGTCAGAGAGAGAAGCAAAATTGGAAAAGCAAAAAGAAGGAAAGGTTGAAAGAGGGAAACAATTGTGATTTCACAGAATGGAATGTTACTGTAGAACAATGCGAATATCCGTATAATTTCCTCTAATTTCAAAGCAGTCAATTGACAAATTTTAATTATTGAATCCATACCATACCACATCTGTCGTTCAATAATTTCACAGACCACCGATTTGATTCAATTGTGTAGTCGTGTAGAGCATTCTTTGACATGATGGTTAGAGACTAAAGCCAAAAGTAGAGGTAAAGTCCTACATAAATTGTGGAAGAATTGAAGTCGTAATTAGACGACATGGATCTTTGACTTTGTAGCTATGGTGAATTTTATAGTAAGTGGGGTTCCATTGGAATATTCTTCTTTGTTCGAATGACAAAAGGTCACAGTAATATTTATTTTTAAAAGATAAATAACAAAAGGAGAAAGAAGATAAATTATTATGATAAAAAGTCACAAAATTTGAATTTTCTCCCTTTTTTTAATTAAAGACTAAAATAGGTTTCAAATCTATAGCTAAATTCATACTTTTGAAAGAGCCATGTTTGATAAGGGTTAAAAGTAGAAACTCGTTTGAACCTCATTTTTATTTAAGAATGTATTTTGAAATAGAATATTGTTGGAGAATTTGTAATTAAAAAATAAAGAAAAGATTTAAAGTTATGTACATTATTATTTTATTGCATAATATGTGATTGAAAAGAAGATAAAAAAAAATATATTTTAGAAATAATAGACAACAAATGTCAGATTTTTAGTAAATTTTGTTAAAAATTGATAAAATGTATGATTAAAAAGTTATGGATTCAATGAAATATATGATTAAAGTTAATTATTAACTCTCATTTAAATCAAAGCAAAGATGACTTCAAAGTTAAATTGAAAGGTGTTTTGCGCGGGTTAGTTGCTAACAATTAAAAATGGATCAGATGATTGTGTAAGGGACAAACCTCTTGAAACAAAGTTCAAAAAGGGGTGTTTTTATTGGCGATGACTTTAAAATTGGAAAAATAAAACAGAATACCTCCAAGGGGCGCAAGCACACAAGTTACTGAAAAGAAGTGTTTAAATTTAAACTAAGAAATTGTAAGTTACATATTCTCTATTTGAGAGTGTTTGATTCGGGGTCCTTTGTTCTATGTATTTTCTTCCTTTTATACTCCCTGTATGATCTCTTTGTAATCAACCGCTTAAAAACTGCTTGATCGCTCTATAACTGCCAACTTTCTTCATGGTGGCCAACTTGTCATGGAACTACCTTCTCTAACTGCTACCATTACTTTTGGTCGTTCAACCGTCTTCAATTGAATTCCTTGAATCGTGGAACGTGATAGGGCTACTCAATAACTGCTTCATTAACCGCACTTTTGGATAGCCATAACATCTTATGTTTGCTAAGATCTTGGGTGACTCGAATGTTTGGGTGAGAATAGGGTCACAGCTCTGGGTGACTGCATGGCAATCTATTCGCTCAAATCTTGGGCGACTTGCAAGCTTGGACGATGGTATTACCACGCTCATGGGCTTCCCTATTTGGGTCTTTATCCTGAATTGCCTGATTAGGCCATTCTTTGGGCTATCTGATTTGGGGATCCTCCAATTGGGCTTCATTCCTTGGGCTATTCGATTTGGGTTGAACTTTTTGTGTATCAACAATTACCCCCAAATATGGCAGAATTAATACCAATTATTAATTTTTGCCATATTCACTTTGTGTTTCCCAGCAACATTCGAAATTCCCAAGAATTTCAATCATTGTTTTCTTCCATAGCCTGAAAAGGTGCGACGTTTGCAAACCCTTATAACCCCCAATTACACGCCATTTCATCGCACCACTAAATCACGCCTCATTGTTTCGCGCTTCTCTCTCGCAATATTACTGTTCATCTTCTTGCTTCTCTGCTATGTTTCTTAAGCAAACTTCGACAAACTCTATTTCATTCCTAATGGCTACCTCACAATCCCAATCTGGTGACTCCTTCAGTTTTGAAGACTTCCAGAAACTCCTCACTCGGCCATATATAACTCCGAACTTCCTTGCACCGGCCAATGTTGAACTCAATGAGTTCTATCTAGGTCCTTCATTTAACAACGCCGAAGCCATCGAACAAGCGGCGGTCGGTCAACTGTTCCCTTGTACTCAGGGTCCTCCATTTCTAAACTCTTTGCCGCTGAGGCTGCTTCGCGAAAGAGGTATTCTCACTTGGCCTAAATCTGATATCGTTTTCCGTAGATGGCATGCTCGCCTTGTGGACCATGGTCCTACTAAGGCAATTTTTAATAGTGCTAGGATTTCTGATTTGTTAGAAATCTCACTTCAACTCCCTATTTTTGACCCAGCACTTTTTTCAATCGCTTTAAGTTTTTGGTCTTCTGAGTATAATACTTTTGTTTTCCCTCTTGGTCTCATGTCTATTACCTTAAGGGATGTTGGGGCCCTAGTAAATGTGCCACCTTTGGGTGATACCATTTTTCCTAGTATTTTGATTTCTAGTGTCGCCCCGAAATTTGATAAAAAACTCACCAAGTCTTATTCAAGCCTGCAAACCCGTCATAACCACTCGAGCGCTGAGCCTTCCCATGCTGAGCGTGTGGCCTTTCTTCAGATTTGGTTTTGTAAATACATTTTGTGTGTGCCAAGCATGAAGCCCTCCATGAGCTATTTACCTATAGCGCACGAATTGGGGCGTGGTAGGCCTCTAAATTTGTGTTCTTTCTTTTTAGCTGCCCTCTATAGAGACATGGCTTCTCTTCAATCCCAATTAAAGAATGGTGCATCTCCCACTGGCAGTGGGTCTCTTTGGTTCACTCAAATGTGGTTGAGAGCCTATTTTCCATCGCTTGGTGCTCCATCCATTTCCAGTCCTTCTGCTAGCTGTTATGGGCTAGCCATTGATCCCTTGACTCCTATAAATATGTCCAGAAGGGATATTTTTTCATTCTTTTATACTTTGGATTCAATCCCTTCCTTCTTTCCCTTTCCTCCCTTTTTGACTTCAGATTATGTGCAACCTCCATCCACTCTGGATAGTGCGAGCACCTCTCTATTCGTTTGGATTCAATTTTTGACCGGAAGGGAGTTGTTCGATGATATTTTAACTGGGACCAATGCCAAAGCTGGGGTTCAAATATATGCTCCCCAATTTTTTGCTCGCCAACTTGGTTTTGGCCAAACTTGGCCCGTTCTCCCTTGCTATTCAAGAAATTTGATAGACCACTTCCACACCATTAATAAGGCAGAGGCAGAAGCTATAGATGCTCGCAATATTCTTTTGACGAGCAACTTTTCATTAGCTCCCTTCAATCCTAGCCGTGCCATCCATCTCCTTTTTGAACGACTTTGGCCGTCAGTGAAGCGCAGATTGTTTGCGACTGATGCCAATCGTGCTTTCCATTCACTGGACCAGCCAAACATTTCTTCCACCTCTCCTGTTTTGGTCATTCATGTGTCCATTAGGAGTCCTTCTTCCCCTGCTCGTGCTAAATAGTCTGCTCGTCCATCGACTTCTCTTCCTGCCAAGCCCACTGCAGCTAAAAGTGCCCCAAGCCACAAACGGCCAGCCTCAGCATCTCCTATTTTGGAGGATGATGCTGATGATGATGATGACACTCCTTTCATCGTCAAGAGGAAGGTAATTATATTGGTTTACTCACAAGCATACCTTTCCATACTTGAAACTTTTCTATGTGCTGATGGTTTATTTGGATTTCTTAGAAAAGTTCAACCTCTCCTTTGAAGGCTTTGGTGTTGGCAGCTCCTGCTCCATCATCCTCTGCTGAGGCTGCTTCGTCCAAACCAGCTGATGAAGGGACTACGCTTAAAGAGAAATCTTCAGTCCCAGAATCTTCATCACAACCAATGGATAAGCCACCTTCTTCCCAGGGCATTGACCCCCCAAACGTCGAAGCAGAAGGTAATTCATTTTTTGATGCTTTACCTTTGCTTGTGCTATTGGTTTTTGATTTGTTGCTTTTTGAGTTTTGCAGATACTCCCATGAGTCTGCCTGTTGTGGCAAGGTCTTCTTGCTTAGACAAGGAGAAGTCCTCACGAATGGTGGAGCCACAGGTGGTAGATTTGGCTGGGGATATGCCGCCTTCCAAGATTGCTGATGAGGTAACATTTGCTTCACCTTTACTTTCACTTTGTTTAGTGTAGTGGAAACCTTCAATGTTGGTAACTTTCTTTGCAGGATGCTAATAAAATTGTGCGTTCCATCCAAGACTTGTTCACTTCCTCGGGGCAAGTCAAGACATCTCGCCCTGCTTCAGCCAGTCGTCCTTTTGCTTCTTCAGAGGAAGATATGAAGTTTCTCAAGCAGTCGATATTTGAGTATGTGTCCTTCATGGATATGGACATCGGTAAGGCTAGTGCTGCCAAGCATGAGGATAAGCTTGAGCATTTGAATGTGAAATTGGAGCAAGCTCTGACACTTCCGTCGCTCAATCTTTCTGCTAATTTTAAAGCGACGTTGAAATTTGTCCATTCCGAGGTCCTCTCCTTGCTGGCCAAAAATGTTGAACTGAAGGCCAAAAGTACTCAATATCTTCGCGCTGTATCTGAAAAAGAGTCCTTGCTTCTGAAGATCAATAAAGCTGAGGACGAATTGAAAGAAATCTCTTCCGAAGTCATGATTGAAGACTCTTTGATGACTAGTTTGGCTGCACAGATGAAGGAGTTTCAAGCCAAAATGGACGATTGCAAGGCGAGAATGGTTGCTAAAAAGCGTAATGCCTCCCAAGAAATTGAGCGAACTAAGTTTTTGGTCGAGCAGTACAAGAAGCTGGAAGTTGATGATGATGTTGTGACTGAATTGAATATCACTTCTTCTCGACAGAGCGAGGACTGGGGGAGACTTAGGAAAATAATTCGTTTGGTATGAGGCGAATTGTAATTAAGACATATAATGCCTTAACTTTTTCTTTTTATAATTTCGTATTGACTTTCCCTTTGTAACCTTGTATTGATATTCATTGCTAATTTTGATCATAACAGCAGCCATCATCATTAATGAATAACTATTTTAACTTCTTGTGTATTTATTGACGTTTGTCTTCAAGCATTTAACTGCTTTATGCTAAAAAATTTTGCACATCTT